TATTTTTAATAACGGTTTGGACAGTGCAGCGTTCAATCTAACTTTCAAAGAGTTGCCACAGAGAATATTTATTATATTCATTAAGTCGTTTCGTTACTTACTAATTTGATGCCTACAAAAGCTTAGAAGTAGTTGTCTACTAGTAATTATTGTTGTCAAACGTAATTTATTTTATACTTACCACATTCCTGAGTACTGAGTAAAAATTATATCCTGGATAAGCGGTAAATTCCATAGCCAATTCTCCATACAGATCGTGCCTGTAACCAATAATCCTTTCGCTATACACTCCCTCCAATCGAATGGTCTGTTTTGGGTTTCTGTAGAACTGATAGTCGAGTTGCAATTTTGCACCATGTGTTGGTCCATTTAAGGTATAATATCCAATGAGTCTACTCGCGAGTTGACGCGTCTGGAAATCCGTTGTGATGTCCCATTGGGTGACTTCACTTTTAGTTTTCACTTTAACACTTCCTGAAATATTAAAATATGTATATATTTTTTTATTTTTAAGCTTGTCCCAAAATTGGACCTTTAACATAGCAATATGTCTTTTGTAACGTTAAATAATATAACAATATTTAAGAGAATTTATTTCTGACACCATAATTGCAAAATCGTAATCGTCAACACCTTGTAACAGTCCACTTCTGAACATAGGCCGCTTCAGATTTCACGCAACCGCTTTGATAGGGACATAGTAAAAACAGAATAGTAGGTTATCTTCTAAAAAATGTACCGAACGCCACTAATATGTGTGCGTGCCTGGCACGTGACAGTAAGGACTCGTACGCACACAACGACACTTGCTACGGACTCGTCCGCACGAGCCACAGCACATACACAACGACGGCAGCGCTCAGTTGTTTGTGCGTTAATATTACGTGAGCTAATTTCGTTTTTCCTTTGAGTTTAATATGCAGAGTATAATAAATACCACATTGTTATGGAATACTTCATTTTATTAATTTAGGAAAGAAAAGTTATGTGGGACAAGTCACATGCTGATTTTAAAAATAAAAATTTAAAAACAAAAGCTTGAGAACAAATATCAAAACTTTTATTTCCTGATAATGACAATTTCGGTTTTACAGTAAAATTTAAATACTGGCCTACTACTTAAATTCTACTCGCGACTTCGTCTGTATGGAAATAGTTTTTATGGCAGTTTAGCTTCCACCCGCAAATACAATACTTAAACGACCATTTAAAATGACCTTCTTAGACCACGAGGGCTTGTTCTAAGGAGAGGTCGATCCATGTTCCGAATAGACCGCGATGTTTTTACAAAACGCTCACCGCAACTGTGCGTCGCCGCTGCGACGACGGAAGGTTACGACTGCGTTGTAGCAACGCTGCGATGGACGCAGCGCCTGTGCGGCCGGCTAAAGCTTTGGTCTGGTGATCATGACGCACAACGCTGCGGTATGCGGTATGCGATGCCGGACACTCAATCATATGAAAAACGTGGAGAATGTTCTCTTGTTCCGTCGCAGTATGCGTCAGCGGCGAAGGGCAAGCGCGGTGAAGTGGGGAGGTGTACTCCCGCACAGCGCGGCGTCATTCTCGTTTCATCGCTGCGGTGTGCGGGTGTGCGTCACGGGTTGACAATATGGGTTTTTTCGAAGACAATTTAATAGAATTAGTTCGCAATTATCCTTCTTTATATAAAAATAAAGACAAAAAACATAAAAGTTTGATAATTAAAGAAAATTGCTGGAGGGAGATAGCTGAGAAGTTGAATAAAACACGTGAGTATTTTGTATATTTCTAATTGTTTATTCGACAGCGGTAGGTACCTAAGTTTACATATAAAAATGGCAAACATTACTAGTGACACATGAAACATTTTGATGGTTCTGAGGTTGGAAACTTGATGAACAATTTAATTTATTTAACTTTAATGAACAATTTAACTTGGTGGTGTTTATTAAGTGTTATAGAAAATAAGCAATAAGTTTTGAATTACTTACTTAACTTGTCCTATCTACTTCACTGTCTTGCCAAGGTACACTACCATGATGACTATTGAAATACTGCTTGAATAAGTCACGTGTCACTGAACCATTTATCTTTAACTTATCCGGTACACGCGCCATAGGAATTACATTTTCAGAAGGCATTTCAAGAGTATTTCTGTCTGAATCGTTTATGACCAAAGAACTCATCATATTATGGATGATACAAGCTGACATAACCAACTTGTCTACGACACGAGGGTTTACTGCAATAGGTGAAAAAAATATTCGAAATCGTTGACATAATATGCCAAAAGCGTTTTTAGACATAGACATAGACATGCATTTATTCAGCAACTTACACTCATACAGTTTTGATACAGAAAATAAAATAATACATAAAAACGTCAAAGATAAAAGTAAATAACAAAAACAGTCATAAAATGATCCAATTGCATGAGTGATGTGATGCTGAAAAGGGCACTGACTCAACATAATGCTATCGCATCGCAGGATTGCGGTAGCGTTGGTTTTCAGCAATGCCCATTGAGGTTGGACTCGCCTGCGAGGATAGTATGTTCGCTTTATTTCTATTTTCGAGAAAGATGTTATCAAAATAATAAAATAAAAAATACGTGTGGCACTCGGTGACTGCCGCGATAAAGCTATTGCATAGCATTTTTTATCAACTTATGCAATTATAATTATTTATTTATTTTATTTATGCAGTTAAGTCTTTGATTAAATCAAGTTACACTTTTTGAGCGTGGTGACCGATAAGAAAACAATTTTTTTTCTCTTATTGAATAAATGAGAAGTTAATATTGTTTAAAACATTTTTATTATCTTACAATACATGTAGGTTATTCAGGAATTTTTATCATTGAGTTAGCAGCTAGTGTACACGGACATACGTCTAGTCGCACGCACACAAACACCGTGGAAGTCGTCCGAAGTCTGCCGAACTGAAACGACGTTAGACGATGCACGGCTTTCAACGCCACACCTCTGTGCCCGTCGGAGTGTGGAGCGTGAGGTTTTTTTCGTTACGGAATTTCTGGATTCGGTCCCCGCGCCCAAGGCCCGCGATAGAAGCTATGCAATAGAATAAAAGTAAAGTAAAGTCGGCCCAAGTGACAACAATGTTCGAAATATTTTTAAGGGCAGGAAAGGATGGGAACTTTATTTATGCAGTAGGTATATGTAAATGTATATAATAAATAATATAATAAATTTTTGGATGTTCTTGCTCTACTAAGGCGGTAGTTGAAAATTCGTTTTGACCTATCTTGAGACGCATGATTTTTTGAGTATGGTTCATCATATAGTTGGTGAGACTAAATGCATCATCACCTACGAAAACATAAGGCATTTCTATGTCAGCTTCCGGCAACTTTGTTGGCGGGGGAATCTTTAGCTGCCCGTTTTGAATTTTTTTAAATAAATTAGATTTAATAAATATGGCTGCGTCACCTTCTTTGCTATAAGAACCAACATCTATTGTTATAAATTTTCGATTCGCATCGACCACGGCAAGTAAAACAATAGAAAAAAGCTGCTTATAATTAAAAAATAAGGACCCGCTGTTACTTGGGCACACGATGCGTATGTGTTTACCATCAATTCCCCCTAAACAATTAGGAAAATTCCATAAAAACCAATATTCTTCGGCTATTCTTTTAAAATCTTCCTCGATGGGTTCAGGAAGTGCAACGTTTAAAAGTCTCAAGCATATACTTTGTAAGACTTTAGGCACAATTCTGCATATCCAATTATGGCTAATTCGAAATTGAAAACTTAAAGATCTATAGCTTTCTCCAGTCGCCAAATACCTGTAAAAAAAGTAGGTACTTAATTAATGGGTCAAACATCGGTGCAAAGGTAGTCCGTTTCAGTTCAGTGGTCCGTGTAGGTAAACAGATTAGTAAATTATCAATTATGAATCCATCTAACTAAATCTTATTTCCCTATTAATAAAAATACTTTATTAATTCGGATTATCTCATTTAAAACCACTACTCATGTTTACCTCCACAGAACATCGAACTAAAACAGACTATATAGTAGTTCTATATTAACTAACAATGTTATTGTTGCAGCTGAAGAATGTAAGAATAAATGGCGTAATTTACGCGACACTTATAGAAAAAATCAGAATAAGAAGAAAACCGGAAGTGCTTCTTCCGTTTCAAAGTATGACGACGAAAGACTTAAATTCATAAATGACAGCTTTGAAGAAAGGGAGTCTATTTCTAATTTAAATCTCGGAAATGTTCTTGAGGTTGATGAAGAAAACAATTTGCAAGTAGAGATATGTTCAGGACCACCAACTTGTTCAACGCCGAGTTCAACGCCGAATTCACCATGTGAATCTATTTTACAAAAACCATCGCAAGAAGGACATTCAATAACACCAAACAAAACTCAAGGTACATCACAAGTGAAAAAGAAAAAAAGAGACAGCCTTGTCGAAGAGTTTAGAAAGAATAGAGAAGAAAGAAGAAACATGTTGAGACAAATTACAGAAAAAGGCAATACTCCAGTACCACATTTTCACACTTTAGAAGTATGGCCGACGTAGTTTGTCAATTTCCTCTGGACAAAATAGCTCAAATCAGAGCACAAGTTTGTAAGATCGTTACTGAAATGGAATTATTGGTCTTGGCGCAACGAGAGACACCATCCCCACAGCAATCATTCAACACACCACAGCAACCAATCCACGCATACAACTCGCAACGAGAGACAACATCCCCACAGCAACCAATCCACGCATACAACTCGCAACGAGAGACACCATCCCCACAGCAATCATTCAACACACCACAGCAACCAATCCACGCATACAACTCGCAACGAGAGACACCATCCCCACAGCAATCATTCAACACACCACAGCAACCAATCCACGCATACAACTCGCAACGAGAGACACCATCCCCACAGCAATCATTCAACATACCACAGCAACCAATCCACGCATACAACTCGCAACGAGAAACACCATCCCCACAGCAATCATTCAACACACCACAGCAACCAATCCACGCATACAACTCGCAACGAGAGACACCATCCCCACAGCAATCATTCAACACACCACAGCAACCAATCCACGCATACAAATCGCAACGAGAGACACCATCCCCACAGCAATCATTCAACACACCACAGCAACCAATCCACGCATACAACTCGCAACGAGAGACACCATCCCCACAGCAATCATTCAACACACCACAGCAACCAATCCACGCATACAACTCGCAACGAGAGACACCATCCCCACAGCAATCTTTTAACATACCACAGAAACCAATCCACGCATACAACTCGCAACGAGAGACACCATCCCTACAGCAATCATTCAACACACCAGCACAATCCTTCAACACACCGCACAACCAATCCACGCATACAACTCGCAACAAGAGACACCATCCCCACAGCAATCATTCAACACACCACAGCAACCAATCCACGCATACAACTCGCAACGAGAGACACCATCCCCACAGCAATCATTCAACACACCACAGCAACCAATCCACGCATACAACTCGCAACGAGAGACACCATCCCCACAGCAATCATTCAACACACCACAGCAACCAATCCACGCATACAACTCGCAACGAGAGACACCATCCCCACAGCAATCATTCAACATACCACAGCAACCAATCCACGCATACAACTCGCAACGAGAGACACCATCCCCACAGCAATCATTCAACACACCACAGCAACCAATCCACGCATACAACTCGCAACGAGAGACACCATCCCCACAGCAATCATTCAACACACCACAGCAACCAATCCACGCATACAACTCGCAACGAGAGACACCATCCCCACAGCAATCATTCAACATACCACAGCAACCAATCCACGCATACAACTCGCAACGAGAGACACATCCCCACAGCAACAATCAGCATACAACTGAGAGACACCATCAGAGCAACCAATCCACGCATACAACTCGCAACGAGAGACACCATCCCCACAGCAATCATTCAACACACCACAGCAACCAATCCACGCATACAACTCGCAACGAGAGACACCATCCCCACAGCAATCATTCAACACACCACAGCAACCAATCCACGCATACAACTCGCAACGAGAGACACCATCCCCACAGCAATCATTCAACACACCACAGCAACCAATCCACGCATACAACTCGCAACGAGAGACACCATCCCCACAGCAATCATTCAACACACCACAGCAACCAATCCACGCATACAACTCGCAACGAGAGACACCATCACCACAGCAATCATTCAACACACCACAGCAACCAATCCACGCATACAACTCGCAACGAGAGACCATCCCCACAGCCACCAATCCACGCATACAACTCGCAACGAGAGACACCATCCCCAGAGCAACCAATCCACGCATACAACTCGCAACGAGAGACACCATCCCCACAGCAATCATTCAACACACCACAGCAACCAATCCACGCATACAACTCGCAACGAGAGACACCATCCCCACAGCAATCATTCAACACACCACAGCAACCAATCCACGCATACAACTCGCAACGAGAGACACCATCCCCACAGCAATCATTCAACATACTTTGATGTTATACCGTTTGATGTTATACCGAGTTACTGTTTTCGATTTTTAATTTCGATTTGCTCGTCGATTTATTATTTTTAATGTAGTGGCGGCGTTAGTTTCACCGCCTTATTTTGTTACTTAAACAAAGTCAATATTGCCAGTGAACAAAATAATATGATTATGAATTGTTTTATTTATTTACCGAAATAAATTCATTTAACTTACCTTAACGTTAAGAATAGTTTTTCTTGTGCCGTAATAGCAAAATTCCGTTTTCTGGTTCTAGGCTGTGTGTCACTAACATAAAACTAAAATCTTGTTAAAGATCTCCCTTGAAACCCGAAAGTAACCCATGAATTTTTCTTCACAATCAATTAAATGCCTTTTTATTAAGGTTTCGTAACAACCTTCACTCCTCCGTTGTAAAAACATGTTCCTCGGAGAGTTTCTTTGTATATTCAGAAGAAGTAAAAATTCTTCTTCCTCCTCTTCAAGCAAAGCACAAATTACAGAAAAATTGTTCATGTTCACGTCTACCTTGGTAGCTGCGGCAAAATCAACTGACCACCTCTCCGCAGGGACGGTAAATGCTGCGTCGTGACGCTGCGTTGGGGCGCATACCGCAGCGTTGTGCGTCGTGATCACCAGACCAAAGCTTAAGCATCAAAATACTTGCGTTGCGTCGTCGCAACACAACGCAACGCGCCGTGTGAACTTACTCTAAGTGGTAATATTTGCGTTTTACTACTACTGTAGCTCTATTACTACTATACTAGGCATGGCCTAGCTACAGTAGTAGTAAAACGCAAATAAATATAAAAAAATATCGGAATGTCGATATTGTCCCATAAAATATCGTCGATATTTTTAATCGCGAAGTATCGATATTCGATATTTATTTCAGAGTTCTGAATTTGTATCAATTTCGATATATTTTTATTAAGCACAATTTTTATTAAGACAAAACATTAAACGATAATACAGCTACAAAGGCATTTATGTGCTGTTGTAGTTAGTTTTTGCCGTCCAACCGACCAACAACAAAATTTTGGACCTTATCTCCATACATAATGCAAAACATGACGATATATCAAAATATCTATATTTATCACGCGATATATATATATATATATATATATATATATATATATATATATATATATATATATATATATATATATATATATATATATCTATGTGATATATATATATATATATGTTCAAGAATGGAGTGGATATGCATCTTTTGGGCTAACTTGCATACCAACTTAAGTCTCATCCCCTGATTTCTATTAAGCAGGGTTATAGTCAAACTTAAGCATATTTAAAAAAAACATGCAATCGGTGTAAAGTTTGCTGGAGATTATACGGGAAAACAAGGATATTAGGTTTATATTGCTGAATAAAGACATTGTTCCTGTAGATAAGTTAATGCTATAAAATCACACCCATGGATATTATGGCTTATCTTCAAAGGCCAAATGTAGCTATCCCGTTAATTTATTCTAAATTATTAATTAATGTTTAATAAAAATATTAACAAACTCACCAGATAGTTCAGCGATAGTTTCATTATTAATGACCCAATAAGCGTGAGGCAGCCACACGTAGCCATATTTAATATCGTGCCTCTTCAACGACATGACGGTGTCGAACTGCTTGCGACCGTCCACGTCCAAACTGGCTTCCAGTGATTTGTCGTATTGTTTATTTTTATACATTGCTTTTGCTTTCAATGTGCTTCGCGCTGATTGCAGGGTCAAGGACGCGGAGCTGGATGTATTGGAGATTATCATTGAGGCGTCAATCATACGTTTCTCCTGGTGACGATAATTGTTTATTTTTAGATTGATTTAAAAAGTTTAGATAATAGATATATAGAAAATAATATACACCAAATAATATATGCAGGCGCATCTATAAAATGCCGGTTGGATCTAGTGACTAGTTAAAATTGAGTTGAATTGGCTTATCCTGTTGTACATTCCGACATATAAATTATAATTTATATTATTTGATTATAAATTTAATTATTTTTTTATTTTTAGTGATAAGTCCTTAAAATATTATGTAAAAGACTACACGAAAAAGAAAACTTATTTGTATTCGATGTTTTCTTGGATTTATAATAATAAAGTGTATAAATGTATAATAGCAGCATAATGCTGCTGTGTTTTGTATGATAGAAGACGAGAACCGGGTACTATTTTAACTGCCAACTAGCAATGCCATCATAGTCTTCAGAATTAGTAGATGTGTTTATATTTTGACTCTTGATCGAGGATAGCCATAGGTGCATCTAAACCACAGCATCCAGTTACAATCGTGTGGACTGTTTTGTCACTTTTACTTCTACAAATAATTGCAGAAAAAAATTGGTATATTTTTCTATTAGGTTGTTGAAATAATTTGTAGTTTTGTATTATAATTATCTGTTTAATATTAACAAAGAAAATAAAACAAATGAACCACTTGCCTTACTATTGGGTGTATCAAATGAGAAGCCTATAACGTCTGTGGTCGCGTTCCTACTCCACTTGTACTGGAAGGCGTAAGTCTTTGCCGATGGATCGGCCTTCTCCAACGACAATATGTACTTAGCTGGTCCGCTCATGATGAAGTAGGGCGCGTTAGGTAGATTCGTCATGTTTGGGAACTGAAACACATTTATTAATCTTTAAGGAGTTCTTGAAGTGTCTTTTTTCACAGTCAGATGTACAAGTCTTCGGTTAGACATAGGTTTTATACATACATAGAATACTATAATACATACATATTAGAACAGGGGAGTGGGCGGAGCCCGTGTAGCCACTAAAATGTCACTAACACGTCAATTCACACGTATAAATGTCAACACGAGATGCGTTTTGACGTTACAATCGTGTCCAAATTTCGCATGCAAATTATTTAAACAATGCCATATTGCACCCTATTTACAAGTAAATATGTATTAAAATTTAAACGATTTTTTAATGATGATCTTGAACACTAATCAAAAGTCTAAAATGTGTAAATTTATTCAGTCTCTCAACACAGCGAATCGGGTTTGGCGACGCCAAACCTCGTACAAAATAAAGTTGACAGCCATTCTATTGTGTATTATAACATTCTATGTATACATAGATATGTATAGATATTTGATCGTAAGAATTTGCCATAAATACTTCGTTTGGCAATAAATCGCAGTGTCCCTCAGTATAAATCTGCGATTTGAAACTGATGGTTAAGTTGTCTTCTGATTGTCAAACTTCAAATTGAGTTAATCTAAAAGCACCTTTACATAATCCTAACAATATTGAGTTTATCAATAGTTTTAAAACACACCACAAATGTCGGAAATTTCAAATCTTTGTAAAACGCTATGAAAACTCAACTTTTGTATCTTTACCTGATAAGAAGCGCACACTTTGATGCCGATGGCTTTATCGAAAGTGCTCCAGCTACAAGTGTTCTGCTCAATTCTGTTCCGGTTCAATCCCTGCTGCTGAAGCTCTTTATCGCCGTGGAGAATGATGAGCTCAGACCTAAATATATGCTCTATTTTAAATACACTCTCATCAAAGTATCTCCTAACTTAAAATTAGTGTCTCTATTGTAGTTGCCTCTATTTACGAAGTCAACAGATGGTCATGTAAAAATAGACTCGTGGAATATCTTTAGACTCTTTCATACACAGATACTGAACAATTACTCCAAATTATCACATAAATATTCACACGCAGACATGCTAACATTCACAAACTCTCATACTTACGCTACAAAAATACGTGGTTTTTATTTTTGTTTTATATTTTTCATTTCTATGTATCCAAACTGATAAATCGCTCTATATAATATTATTTCTAACCATAACATAAGTGATCTCTGTATAATATTATACGGGTCTTTGAACCTACACGGGCACCAGTCTCTCATGAATGACAAAATATTGTTAAAATAGAGATGTAACGTGTGTTATGTAACACTAATGTATCTTCCACGTCGTTTGTGGTGAGAAATAAATAAATTATTGTTACTATTATTATTATAGTGTAATGCAAGTTTTACTTGAACAATTAGTGCTTTGCGCCATCACTGCCCATCTAAATTAAAAGACGCTGGACTAATTAGCAATGCCTAATAGTTTTGGATACGTCGGAATTATAAATGCTGACTTTTGTCAACCTTTTCCCTTTTTTGAGTCGGCTAGTAAGAATACATGATTTGTGACTGTTAATGAGGCCCCAAAACTTTAGAAGATTACAGTATATGTACAAATAAGTACCTATATTACATAAAGTCATTGTTGCCGTCGAGACAGACTGACAAAAAAATCGTCATCATAATAAACAAAAATGAACTTACTTAGCAGCAAAAATTTCCTGTTTATCTCTCGGCAGCGACAAATCGAGTCGCAACATGTTCAACCCTCGTACACTCAGTTTAGCCTCTACTGATGTTGCGGTATACAAACGGGCGTTTAAACGAATGCCGCTAGAAGTCAGCGTGCTCGCTACAACACCCATGGTTGCTGCTATGTTTACTGCAACACTGCAAAATCAACGTTATATTATAAGAACAGGGTATAAATTAATTTAACACTAATAATGATCCTTGAGATATCTCAAAAACCGTCTTATTCCCTTGTAATAACGTAACAAATGGAATACTTAGCACGCAGTTTTACAATCACAGTATAAAACGTCTCGCACCTGCAACAGTGTTCCTAGTAATTTTTCTAGGTGTTTTATAACTGGCTTATAAGAAATGTCAAATGGATGATGAATTTTAAATTAAATTCTAAAAATATTTTGAATAAGCCCTAAACAATGGGACGGCCGTTATCTTATCTAATTAAATCCAAAGTATGGGATGTATAAAAGATAAGAGAACTTTTTTTTATTGAACACAGATTAGAATAAAGTTAATAAACTCAACGACAACCTCGCTATTTCCCTATTCTATATGTACACCAACCTATAAGATATTATAAACTTACCTAGGTCTTATCATTCCGGCAAATTCCAAGTTACCCGACTGCTCGTACTTATCAACCACAGTCCCAGACATCTTGGTGTCCACGTAGCTCGTACCCATTAGGTTCATGTTTAATGGTAGACCGCATCCAGTTGGCACTGAGAAAGTAGTGTCCAGGAAAAGGGACGCTTTGTTGTATTTTATTTCCTGTGAAAGGTAAACAAATCTTTGAATGAAACTAATTTAGTTTGTTTCACTTATTTTAACTATTTTTAAATTATCGACGTTTCGATCGCTTGACGGCATCCATTTTAGTGTTTAGCATCGCATACGTGACTATAGGCAAAACGGCAAAACACTCTGTATACCGAGAATTTAAAATAAAGCAAATATTACAAACTTTTTTATAGAATAAGAGTTACAAACGAGCACACAGTCCACCTGATGGTAAGTGGATGCTGCGGTACATAGACATCTACATATATCCTCGATTTAGAACAAAAATGCAGATGCGTTGTCAACCCTGAGGACTAAGATGGAATGCTTAGTTTCTAGTAAAAAAGGGCCTTCGGATCTCTACACTCATTATACGAAACACAACAGCATTAAGCTGCTATTTTACGCTGGTACTTTGTGAGAGCGTAGTCCTTACCCGGTCCAACCGACCACCCATTCGTGCTACAACCATAATATAGCTGCAGTGTGGCTCTACCGCGTATAACTCAACAAAATTCTGTAAATTAATTTTTTTTTATTGTTTCGTATGGTGAGTGTAGAGAACCGGAGACACTTTTTACTGGAAACGAGGCATTCCATCTCAGTCCTTAGAGTGACAATACACCTGCATTTTGATTCTTATTGAAGGATATATACGTAGAAATCTATGGGATACAGCATCTACTCGGGCTGATTAGATGAGAAAATTGTTTCATTCAATGTGTAAGTCCTATTCGGGTATACAGAAAAAGAGATTTTATTAAAAGTATTTTAAAATAATTTCTTTTACTAACGCGAATACTACACATTGAATATAACATTTTTTTTAATAAAATATATTTAACAAATGTAGCACAAAGTCCACCTGATAGTAAGTGAATGCTTTGACCCATAACTACCGACAACTATCCTCGATCTAGAATCAGAATGTATTTTTTTTTATTAACTGGCTTTACGGCTCTGGTTTCTAGACATTCGGAGCCTATCCTTTCTTTTGGGATCTTCATTTTATATTCTTTTTCTTCACAATATGCTGATGCGTCACATTGCGAAGCCCTTGGGAGATTTTGACGACAGCTCAACCTAGCGGACAGTTGATGACGACAGCCACTCAAGTTCATAAGGCGCCCAAGCGATCAAAATAACTTGAGGTTTATATCGACATCAAAGCACTTCTTTCGTCGTTTTCTCTAATAGTTCACACGTGCGGACACTTAATTCACAAAATCGCATCACTTTTACGAATCAAAATCCACTTCAAACCATTTATTCAAGCGACAAAATAGGAGCGACAATCCGTCTACGGCCAAGTTCCCGCCAAAAAAACTCAATCAAAATGTAGATGCATTGCCACCGCTGAGGACACAAAGAGAATGTCCTCTTGATCAGTAAAAAGGCCTCCAGGTTCTCTTTTCTCCCAATAAGAAACACAGCAGCATTAAGCTGCTATCTTACACTGAAGGAGCGCGGTTTTTCTCCGGTCGAGTCGACCCATTCGCGCTGCAACCATAACATAGCTGCAGCGTGACTCTACCAGATTATTGACATGCTGTAATTAATGAATGATTTAACTCTTGTGTGATAAAATCGGATGTCAGACACACGGTCTGCGTAACTACTAAGCACGGGCGTTTTCAGTTTTTAGCTGCAACATTTTTATTGTTACATAACCGATATTGAGTTTTGATATCGATATTAAAAACCGTTTTTAGATATCGATATCACTAGTAATGGTTTGCTACTGAATGCGCAAGCGACAACCGAAACATAACCGCAAACTGTAGAACCAGTGTAAACATTTATTTTACAAATTACTTAGATTATTTTGGTAGTTTATTTATTAATGATAATTTAAGTTGGCGATTTTCCTTCATGTTTAACCAGGCTTAGGACTAGTAGAAAAGTTTCTTAAATTAGAACTTAAGTTCCCAGTAGTAAATGTATACGCCAATATTTGTTGACAATATTTACAAATAGCAAGGTACACGGAATTGTCTTTTAATTCTAATTGAGACCATATTTCACTAGCCTTACGGGACATTTTAAAAGTTCCTTTACAAAAATGATTAAGACTCAAAATCAACGTAAACTATTCTATATTCTCACTATACACAAACTTGTCCGAATTAAAACTAATGTACAAAATGCATACTAATATTGCAATAAATGAACGAATGCAACGCAAAATATAATAATTTTATAGAATAATAACTTAGTGGCATACATTTATTATAACTATTTATTTAATACACTTCTTAATAATAATCATATTATATTATACTATTTGTATACTGCGTATAAATGCTTTAATAATTCTACACTCCTACATTACAACAATATTTGGAATAGAATTCAAAGATCACTCATCAGTACTTTCAAACACCTTATCACTGCTTTGGGAAAATAGTGAAGCAAAATTTAAATGTGCCATTGAATTAACATATGTATGGTATACCTTGTTTTTGGATAACTTATCGAACTAAAAGAGATAGATGATAATTTTGAATCTGAATTAGACTCGATAAAGATTAATTGCTATAATGTTAGTGAACTAGAGCTGTGTAAAGCCAAATTTTCTCAAGAACATAACTTTAAATTAATAAATTTAAATATTAGGAGTATTCAAAAGAATTTTGATAATTTCTTGGTAGCGATGCGACGAACAGGTATTGTTTATGATGTTATAATCTTAACAGAGTGTTGGCTAAATGATATGATAAATATTCACCAGCTGCAAGGATATAACGTCTATAAATCTGAAAATAACTCAAACCAAAACAGTGGTGTTGTAATTTACGTTAGGGACATATGGCGAGCAACGGTTTCCGAACCATGCATTAACAATTCTAGTTGTTTAGCGGTACAAATTCTAGACATGATTTCTATACTAGCTATCTATCGCTCTCCGTCCTGTAGAAATATAGGAGATTTTCTGGCATCACTTGATTCCTATATAAATTCCGCAGCTAACAGATTCCCCCTTGTAATTACTGGCGATATGAATGTCAATTTATCGGATACTACAAACACTCAGGTTTTGGAATATCAATGTGTTATGGCGGAATATGGTCTACTACCGGCTATTACAGAGCCTACCAGAGGAAAATCATGTCTCGACCATATCTATCTTTCAGATTCTGAACTAAGCCGGAAACCAGTCGGCGTTGTCTGTCAGTCTGATATAACAGATCACTATCCGGTTATGTTGGGTCTGAATTTAAATAAAATCAAACCCCTGCGGCCGAGCCGAACAGTTCTCAAAAGAGATTTTGAAGGAATTAAAAAAGACCTCTCAACTTTTGACTGGGCTGTAGTTACTGACAAAAAGAGGTGAATGAAGCGACAAGCATTTTCACAAATATATTAATGAATACATTAAATAAGCATACGCATGAAGTGAGACTAACCAGAAGAGAATATAATTTAAAACCCTGGATCACACCGGGGCTCATCAGATGCATGAAACATAAGGACCGACTTCACCAACGCACAAAGCTTGAACCAGATAACGTTCCGCTTAAGGTCACCTATACTAGATATCGGAACTTTTTCATTGATCTCTTGCGTAAGTGTAAATTAGATTTTGAAAGCAATAAACTAATCGAAAATAAGAATAACCCACGAAAACTCTGGAAGTCAATTAAATATTTTTGTAATTTTTCCAACAGTAAAAATGATTCCACAGAATTATTAGACATGAAATGCTCGGATATAACACGTTCCCCACTTGACTTATGTAATAACTATTTTTCAACGGTAGGAGTAAACCAAGCGAATCAAACACTTAATAAAATTAATAAAACTGAGACAAATCTTGCCAGTAAAATACGAATCAATTGCAACCTCACAGAATCATTTTTCATGACTCCCACTGATCCCAAAGAAGTTAGTGCTATGATTATGGGATTACAGAATGACAGGGCTCCTGGTATGGATGGCTTAGCTAACTCTTTAATAAAACATATAAAAGATTCGATCATCCAGGCACTCACCTATATCTACAACCTAAGCCTAGAAAGCGGAGTTTTTCCATATGATTGGAAACTTGCATCTGTTTGTCCTATTTATAAGGGATGTGGCTCAAAGACAGCTATAGAAAATTATAGGCCTATCTCGCTATTAGGCGCTTTTTCAAAGCTACTTGAGAAGCTTGTAAACAAAAGGTTAACCGGATATTTGGAATCTCGACAGTTGATCTCGCCAGGACAATTCGGTTTTAGAAAAGGTCGATGTACTGAAGATGCTGTATCCCTTTTAACATCTACGATATCATCAATACTTGACTCTAAACAGAGCTGTGTTGGCGTTTTCTTAGACTTAGCCAAGGCCTTCGACACAGTGTCAATTCCAATACTTTTAAAAAAATTAAACTATATGGGTGTTAGAGGTATTGCCGGTGATTGGTTTCAGAGCTATCTCACGGACCGGAAACAGTGTGTGAGGATTGGGCGGGCTGTGAGTCTGCCACAAAATGTACCTTTTGGTGTACCGCAGGGCAGCATACTTGGTCCTACGTTATTCACAGTCTATATCAATGATATACATGACCTACCCATGGAAAACGCCGAAACGATATGTTACGCCGATGATACTGCTATCGTATTCCATGGCTCAACGTGGAACGATGCTTTGTACAGTGCTGAAAGAGGTCTAAAACAGGTCTTTATTTGGCTATAAAATAATCTCTTGACCCTAAATACCAAGAAGACTGTGTACTTATGCTTTCATAAGACAGCAGTCACTGCGCCAGTACAACAAACAGTGGTAAAGATTCATGAGCCTTCTTGCACAAGCAAATCGTGTGCCTGTGAGACCTTGAGTAGATCCGATGTAATTAAATATCTCGGTGTCCTCGTTGATGATAAACTGACATTTGAAAATCACATAATAGCTCTCTCGGCTCGAGTCAGGAAGGTTATTGGTGTTGTAAAGCATCTGCGGGACATAACGGGCTTAAATACTCTAAGATCTGTGTATTTTGCGTTATGCCAGTCGCTTATAACTTACTGTATTACTTGCTGGGGAAGTGCAGCAAAAACTTTCCTGATCAGAGTTGAGAGAGCGCAACGTTCGGTTATAAAAGTAATGTTAAAAAAGCCGTATAGATATTCAACTTTTGATTTATATAAGGACAGTGGACTATTAAATGTAAGACAACTTTTCATATTGAAGACCTCCCTAACTGTTCATAAGTGTACACTGGCATCTCCAGAGTATAAGACATTGTTGAAACGAAGAGTATTCCGCTTGCCAACTCCCCCTATCAACTATGCTTTTTCTAAACGTTTTGGGCAATTCGTGAGAACTCAAGTGTACAACTCCGTCCTCAAGTATTGCGATATAAAAGAAAAATCAGTGGTGGAAGCTAAAAGAACCATAACAAAATGGTTACTAACTCTGAGCTACGATGGTACAGAAAACCTAATTAAACCGTAATCTTTATCATATATTTACGTAAATAAAATATATGAATACAGTATGTAATATGCATATGTATCTATAGGAGTTCTAATGCATATATGTTTTATTAATTATTGTAATATTTGTGAATAACAGTATTTTCTTTACTAACAATATTATTTTACCTGTAATTACTTGTTTTTATACATATTAACTTAATATAAATATTTATTTCATTTTATATTTTATTTTATTTTAAAAACAAAAAAGCTTACATAATGTAATAACCGTACGTCGACCCAGTGTCAATTAATGAAAGCCACGTGTGATAAGAAAATCGTATCAGGCCCTCACGACACAGGCATGCCTAGTGTGAGGACCACAGAACTATACACCCTTGTTTATACACTCCAGCTTAGTTGGTGTGATAAGATCATAGTTTATAATAATTGTATATTAGAGAATTTAAGACTACTGTGCTTCCATTTTATTGTCTTATATTGTATATTGTGATCTGTACCACCTTAGCTGTAAATAAACATTTTTTCATTTTTCATTTTTCATTTTTCAGTGAACGGCGCGCGTCATCAAAGACAAGTGTTTACGTGGTAGAGCCCTGCTGCAGCTATATTACTGGTATAGTTGTAGCACTAATGGGTCGGCTCGACCGGAGAAGGGCCACGCTCTCACAGAATACCAACGTGAAATAGCAGCTTAACGCTACTGTGTTTCGTATGGTAAGTGTAGAGAACCGGAGACCCTTTTTACTGGAAACGAGGCATTCCATCTTAGTGACAACGCATTTGCATTTTGATTCGTAATCGAGGATAAATGTAGATGTCTGTGGATCACAGCAACCACTTAACATCAGGTGGACTGTGTGCTCGTTTGTCACCTTTATCCTATTAAAAAAATATTTTCTAAACTTTCTATCCAAAACATAATCAAAAAGTTACCTAAACCGAATATAATATGGTTATACAAATATAATCCTTGTGCCTAATGAGCTAAAGATCATTTCAAATTTGACAATTCTCACAACAACACAAACATACAAATTAGGCAATTTTACATCGTTTAAAATTCGACCTTATTGCTTTAGATAATTATATTTTGCGATGTACACCGTTGTGTGATAACCAAGACAATGGGTGCGTTTGGCAGAAAAAAGCGCTAGCAAGCGCTTACAAGCGCTGAAATAGTTTTCGGCCAGGACACGATTACTACTTCAGTAGCGCTGACGCAATCCGCCATTTTGCTTATTTAATTTGTTTGTTTTGAAATAGAGTTTATAAGTTGTTTTGTGCAATATTAGTTTTAAGTAATATAATAACGTGAATAAACATATACATGTTATTAAAAATTCATGATTGGTAAGTTTTTAATATGAATACTTTACAAACATATATTTAAATTAGGTTAGGTTCCTCGGTTAAAACTAACATCGTGTCCTGGAGGAAAATAGCTACTTACGATTTGACAGCGTTTACCGCTTACGACCGCCATTTTGCTTACAAGCGCTTGCTAGCGCTTTTTTCTGCCAAACGCACCCAATATCGTAACGACATTCATATTCGTTTCATCTCTTTCAATACGTACTTATGGTATCGTTAGAACGAGAAGCAACGAATATTAACGAAAGCAACGGTTAATTTGTGTGCCGTGTTAATAGATCGTTCCACAGTTTGGGGGTTAATTTGTTTGATCGTTTTCGTACGTTTGTTAGTTGGTTGGATACGCCCATCATATTAGACTGTGTTGGATATGTGATAACGGTTATGTACTTAGTTTTATCGACATATAATGAATTGTTGTTGACATATTGTTCTTATGCCTAGTTACTACAACACAAATCCTCGAATATCACATTTGTGTGTGACCTCAGGACCAGCAATGAAGTCTCTAATACATACATAGTAGATAAGTTATACGACCATTTAACCACGGTCGTTGAATGCTTACAGGTTTAGTTTGCACCATGGAGATTAGAGAACACGAGAACGATCGCTGTAGAAAATAGTGTCCCAGAAATATGGACACAATAGGTGAAGTGCTGCGATAGCTAACTTTGCTCAATAAAAGTCATTTTCAGTCTATTTTTCCGATCAGATGCTAAACCACTTGCACATAAAAGCATAATAAAATATTTCTCCATTTTTTAATGTTTCTTTTTGTCAAAAATTAAAAATTTACTGAGCACGAAAATTTTCTCACCAACGCCGCGAAGAAAATTTGTACATTATTTTACTAACTTCATCTACTTGTACTCATTAACAGCTAACTTCGCGGTCACTACTCACTCACGTCAGCGCCGCTATAAATTCTACAAATTTTTAACGACAGGCGGGCTACGCTTTAGTACGTAGCGATCATTCTCCTTCTCTCAAACCTCCATGGTTTTCACATACGCAAGTGTGACGGATGAAATTACATAATTTTGAATACTGATTTTGTACTGAAAAACCATTTATACGTTATAATAATTATAAATAACGAAAACATACCTTTCCAGACAATATCTCCAATATCCTCAGTTTAGGGTTCAACCTCTCCAATGACTTAACTATTTCATCAGAGCCCTCCGCGCTCCAGAATGATATTTCATTGCCGAATACTTTGATACCCAACTCTGCCATTGGATAACGGTGCTTAAGAGCGTTGTTTTTGTATCCAAGATCGTCGATTTTCCCTTGTAGTTCGTCCGCTTCGTTTGCGGATCTGAAGAATCGTAAATTGCTTACTTTCTTAGTTAATTCATTTTTGCTAAATGGTCCGTTTTTACCAAAAAATGTTTCGAAGTATCTTTCAAAACCTTCACCGCGTGCTTTAATCTGTAATTAAAGTTAAAATAAATAGCACATATATAGACTAACTTCGTTGAGAAACAGTAGAGGAGCAGAGTTTCTAAATTATAATGTGAATTTTTTTTGTAGCTGATGAACTATTGATTTTAAAGCAAATTTTTCTCCAACTAGTAGAGAAGAAAACATGGAATGCGATTTCTGTAAATATATTTTATCATTGTTTTTTTTTACAATTTAAAACTTTAAACTTAAGTAAATTCTCACCTCTAGCAGATTGATAGATTCACCAAACATATCAACGGTCAAGTTGAGCGATACAGATCTTGGAATGTAGGAATCAGGAGAGAACACCACATTGGCTTCATAGTTACCACCTAAAAATTAAAGAAAAATCTAGATATTTTTGTAAAGTATTTCCTATGTCACAAATTGATACTTTTACTTTAATACTGAACTTAATTTTAACTTCTAGGTTTTGACTTATTTATTCTCACTGTCAGTTTCTTGGAATCGAGAAGAGATTCCATTGAAAAATCTCTTGCAATCACCAGTTACCTGAGGCTTATTTATTTAATCATAACATTTAATAACAAAAATAACCGGAAAAATGTCACTGAAGCAACTCGTATAAATAATCTTGACTCACCTGCATTGTACTGATCGAAGAAAACACTCTGTTCGTAGTTCCTAGAGAACATCCTGAAGTCTGGACTATCCTCGAGTTGCGGCATCGTATTGCCGGAGAGAAGACCTTGGATTTCAACTCGGGACGGCAGTGAGGACTGTCCTAGGTTGTTTAAATGACTCCATACGAATGTTGCCGCTGTGACAGACAAAATAAAGTGGTGTCATTTTAGTACATTGTAATTTAAAATATAAAATGATACGTGTATCCTATATCAAACGTTAAGGTAAAGTTTAAAAGTATGTTCGTACCTTGATTAACTGGTTCGTTTCTCAAAGCATGGAAAATCCTTCTTATAATGCTCAAATCTGGACACCGCATCACTTGTAAATAAGAAGCAAGGCGTACTTCTATATCCACTAGATCTTCTCGGAACGTTTCTAAAAAGTACTCGCTGAAAAGGTTGTTTTAAATAATGATTTTAGTTTTAATAAACTGTTTTAAATAAATAACTAAAAAGCTCAAAGTCATTATGTATATTATTTTTAAATTTTAAAATACAATTTGCATTATAATACATATGCCATCAAAAACATAACTTGTAAGAAAACCAAGTCTTGCAACTCAATTCTTCTATCGTAAAAAGTTGTGAGATCCATGCAAATGTAATACAAGTCGGTTAATTTATACAATCCCTACTTAAGGGTCCTTCTGTCTTAAGTATTTACGTAATTAGCTGACATAAAAACATCTTGTTGTGACCATGTCAATATTAAAAATCTTTTATGTTTTAAATAATTAGAATGATTTAGAGTTAGCCTTAGAGTTTTGATGATCGGTCAGTCAGTGAGTGACAAAATTAAGAAACTTTGGCTAATTATAATTCCTAAACTACTGGTACAAATTGAATGAAGTATACCATGTTTATACAATTGCCTGCTTAATTTCTGAAAATTCAGGTTTCTAGTTATATCAAGTATATAGTTATAGAAAAGTATGGTACGGGCGTGCCGCTTTTTTGCTCGACTTGGCGGGGGCAGTGCCGTGCACCCAAGTACATTATAATTTATTAAGCACATATTTGAATGTTTGTAAAACATTCAAATAGTTTACTTTTTGAATTTGTTGAACGCCATTGACACATCTGGTCGAAAGTTCATTTTTAAACGACTTCAAAATAAAGGTGGAGTCTACCGATTTTGATGATTTTTTCATTTGAAATCTGGTGCTTCTCATGTGGCTACATATAAATTTAATCAAGAGCCTTTCTTCCCCATCGGTTATCGGTTCTTCGAGCTATATGGCCGGCCCATTGCCACTTCAGCTTACTAATCCGTTGGGCTATGTCGGTCACTCTGGTTTTACTGCGAATATCCTCATTTCTGAGTCAAACACGCAGAGAAACTCCGATATACCTCAAACTCTGAAAACTAGATTGTACAACCAGTGCGTGTTGCCAGTGATGACTTATGGATCTGAGACGTGGTCCTTCACTGCTGGCCGTATGAGGACGCTCAAGGTCGCTCAGCGAGCTATGGAGAGGGCTATGCTCAGGCCCATATAGTCACATCTAATTATGTGTTTCAATAAAAACCTCTTTTTAAAAATATGGTACGATAAAAGTACATGCTGTGTGATTTTATAATAATAACTCAATTGTAATTTAATAAATTCTTAGCTTACCGTGTCTCAGTACATGGCGTCCTTCTGAATGCGTCGATAGCGGTCAGACGAATAGGTACAGGCACTAAGGCATCGCCAATTATATTTATTAGGACATCCGCAAATTCCTGCTTGAATCCTCCGATGTTACCCAGGGCTTTGATCGCGTACACGAGCTGTAAATAGCAAGATTACAAATTGATGATGGTGTCCAGGATAATTCAGACATTAATAACACCTTATAAACTTTTTTTTATATTAGGAAATTTGACAAACGCAACAAACAAATTTTGGTTAATACAAAAATTTGACTGGTATAGAATGCTTATAATGCAAAGTCTACCATCTCTATATGTTTATATGGTCAATAAAATATAAAAAATAGTTTGATAAACGAGCTCACAGTACACCGGATGGTAAGTGGATGCTGTACCCTAAAAGGATGTATAGGTGACATCCTTGTTCAAAAATTAAAATGTAGATGCATTGGCATTTCTAAGGATAAACACGCATGTAGGCACTATTATACCCCATCGATGTTAGGAGATCGGTTAACGCATCTCTTTCACGCTGCTGCGTCAGCGACATAAGGCCTATATGACCGATCTCCCGACGAAAGCCGGGCAGTTTACAGTCAGTCTACAAGTCTCAATAATCGTTACTAAGTCGTTACAAAATCTTAAGTCCCAGTTATTACTATATCATAAGTTTACTAATTCTTTATTATTAATTTAATTCAATTATATTGTGTTGTGTAATAAATAGTTTTTTTTAAAAGCTCTATCCTCGGTTCCGTATAATAGCACATACGCACGCACGCACTTAAGGGGAAATATAATGTCAAATGGCTTAGCAAGATCCTTCGTTATGCCGAAAATATTGCAGCATTAATTTTGAAATAAATATATGGTAAAGTTGAGGATTAATGTTAATGATTATGTTAGACGAAAACACGATTTCGTAAAATTTTCTCGATAGAAAAAAAAATCCAAAGTTACCTCCAAAATAAACAATAAACCGCTGTTATTCATAAAATACTTTAAATAAGATCATGAAACTTTGCATACCAACTGAACTAACTATAAAGCAGTGCTTATGTTATTTACTTTTTTTAAAATACCATTATTTTCACTGTAAAAAGAAATTACCTAAACTATCGGCGTCTTGAGCTTGATTCCTCCGCACCGTTAGTATCGCTTAGGCTTTTGAAGGGAGAAGTTGTGTCGCTTACGATCAGAATATACATTACGCAACAGTACGACGTAAAATTAAAATGGGAAATAACCGTGATAAAAATGAGAAGCGGCTGGCTTGGCGTTAAGAAACAGGCATAAATATGATAAACCTAATGAAATAAGTGTCTAACGACCTTTCTACTTACAGTATTAGTGATTACAAACATATCGGTACATAGCATACGACGCGCGGGGAAGTGGGGGCGAAATTAGAATTTGAGCTGACTTACTCTATCCTCTTAAGTATACACATGTAAGCAAGCAAGTATAAAACGTACAACGGTAGATGGCATTTTATTTGTTACTAGCTGTGCTAGCGACAATGTACGCACAACTTTTAGTAATTTATTATTATACTTCCCTATACGAATAGGATTTTGTTCGCAATTTCATTGGTTTTAATTTTTTTTTGCGCGGAACACTAATTATTTTTCTAAAATAAAAGTAGCCTAAGTTACTTCTTATAATCAGCTATCTGCCAGTGAAAGTCCCGTCAGTCCATGCGTTTCGGAGATTAGCCGGAACAATCAGACAGACGGGCTAATAGACAAATACATTAAAAACTGTTTTTTTTTGTTACAAGTACCATACATACTTTCTTATGAATTTAGTAAAAAGCTGTTATTAAGACATTACAGACACTTTAATTTTATTTATTTGTATAGAGTATAATACATACTTTGTCTCTATCCTCTCTCGGTGCATTTGTAAGACCTCTACCCGTAACCTCTGTTACAATGCTTTGGAATACTTCCAAGATTTGCTTTGGAATTTCTTCTTCGCAGCATTCACGTACTGTAACAAAAATGGTGTTGAACGAACCTGGAAGCTTTCATCTCATAAATCAGTCAAGATTCCGCTACTGGACATAGATGTTGACGGACGTTGTACCTTTTTCTATAATATTAGAATGTCAAATCAACAGGACACCTGCTATCAACTACAAATAAAGAAGAAAACCCTGAAGACGTAAGATGAAATTTCACCACAGTATAATTTAAAAAAAATATTACTTTTTTATTGGAAAGAACTGCATTTTACACTAAGAAGGGTAAGAAAATCTATCATCCTCATGTCAGCAAGTGGGTTTTGTAATCGGCGACTTAAGGAAACCGAAACAGGAGATAGATCTTGATAAATAAAAGGACTGCGCAAAAATCGCAAAAATGAATGATCCCTTGTGAATCAAGGTATAAGGAAACTTATGTTTTATAGTACTGGATTTTGATAGGCTGTAATTATTATTTATACGTGATAGAGCCACGCTGTAGTTAAATTAGTAGTATAGTTGTAGAACGAACGGGTCTGCTCGACCGGTGAAGGACCATGCTCTCACAGAATACCAGCGTAAAATGGTAATTTAAGGGGAAATATAATCTCAAATGGCTTACCAAGATCCTTCGTTATGCCGAAAATATTGCAGCATTAATTTTGAAATAAATATATGGTAAAGTTGAGGATTAATGTTGAGGATTATGTTAGACGAAAACACGATTTCGTAAAATTTTCTCGATAGAAAAAAAAAATCCAAAGTTACCTCCAAAATAAACCGCTGTTATTCATAAAATACTTTAAATAAGATCATGAAACTTTGCATACTAACTGAACTCACTATAAAGCAGTGCTTATGTTATTAACTTTTTTTAAAATACCATTATTTTCACTGTAAAAAAAAATTACCTAAACTATCGGCCTCTTGAAGCGTGATTCCCGCAGCACGGTCACTTCGCTTCGGCCTTTGAACGGGGAGGTTGTGTCGCTTACGATCAGAATATACATTACGCAACAGGACGACGTAAAATTAAAATGTGAAATAACCGTAATAAAAATAAGAAGCGACTGGCTTGGCGTTAAGAAACAGGCATAAATATGATAAACCTAATGAAATAAGTGTCTAACGACCTATCTACTTACAGTATTAGTGATTACAAATATGTCGGTACATAGCATACGACGCGCGGGGAAGTGGGGACGAAATTAGAATTTGAGCTGACTTACTCTATCCCTTTAATGCTGCTGTGTTTCGTATGGTGAGTGTAGAGAACCGGAAACACTTTTTACTGGAAACGAGTCATTCCATCTTAGTCCTCACGGATGACAACACCTTCATTTTGATTCGTAATCGCGAATAGATGTAGATGTCTGTGGGCCAACAACCACTTACCAACAGATGGACTGTGTGCTCGTTTGTCACCCTATCCAATAAAAAAAATTGAATAAAAGAATGTTGTTACTCTAACATACATGGGATGTCTAGATACCAGTAAAAAGGGTCTTCGAGAGTCGCTACTCACAAAATGAAATATAGCAATATGCTTCTATTTAAGTTTGATAGTAGTTCGTTTTGGATTTGGTGAGGTTAGGTTTATTCATTCATTCAGAGTGTGAACAAAAGATTGGAATTATGTAAAACAAATTATCTGTATTTCATCGCGTTTAGTTCCTGTCAAGTTTGATTCGTGAGGTTATTTTAGCTAAGCTCATTTTGCATAGATCGGACAAAAATTAATATTTGTAAGTTGAAACTACTCCAGGTTAACTATGATATCAGGACGTCTAACATCTCTTTCCCTATGACCATGGTCATGGGGGGAGAGATGTTAGACGTTAGATGTCGATGACGGTAGATGTAGAGTTAGATGTTAGATGTTACACGACTGACTTAAGAGTGCTTTGCAGCATCCATATGTTGCAAAGCACTCTAAAGTCAGGCATTAAAAATGTTAAAAACGAATACGATTAAAATCCATAAATTTTGTTTCAAGCAATGTATAGTATTCGCCTAAAATATAAAAATCACTAAAAGATTCAAATGTTAAGTACTCACAGGATTTACCGCTGTGCTTACAGTAGGAATGCATCATGGACGATACTGTGAAACTGATAACTTTGTCGTTCTTTTGCTTTTGAAGCAGTTCCAGCGTGCTCTTAAGCATTTCTACTTTAGGCCTGAAATATTAAAGACATGAGATGGGTAATAAATCATTAGTAAATTACACTCAATTTGTAATTTTAAAATTGCTACATTAGTTTAAAAACTGGCTTAAAATTAGTACATAATATAGTCTCAAAAGTGGCTAGATTATTAAAATATTACACAAATAAAATGTTTATTTTACATCAATTTGGAGAATTTTTATAGAACTTTAATAGAAACAATACAGTATATGAAAATAATTGTAAAGAGTATTTTTTTGGGTATTTTCATAAAAGAACAATGAAGCAAGAGCACATATATAATTATCATGAGTATATAACCTCTATTGCTTTACATTTTCTATGCAAGTATAGAGGTAAACTATAACTAAACACAGCAAACACACATTATTTCTTAATATCATGTTTACTTAGAGGTGAATAGGTAGTTTTAAATTTCAAATCTTATTATATATTAATGTGATTAAATCGCAGTATAGGTAATCTTCAATTACTTAAATGTAACACCTTACAGTAAAGAGTACTAGGGCGGACTTCATGCCATGTGGCATTCTCTACCAGTCAACCCTGGGTGCCAAAGGCAATTGTTGGTAGGTGCGAAACATATTGCTTATACAAAGTGTTATATACATTATTATATATATATATATATATATATTTAGTCATAGGCTAAATAGGGTAATATAGAAACACTTATATTAAAAACTATATCACCATACCTAGGTATCATAGCCATCGACATAAGCCACTCATGTCGAGTCTCCTTATCCACGTCTTCATTCACCACCTTATCTTTTATTAGTTCCACTGAGCCGGTGCTTGCAATGTAAGGTAGCGCATCCAGAATATGTTTTCTGTAACAATTTGATCATTTTAGTCACAAAATAAGCACAAACGTTAGATCCTCATTCTCAATAGGAGTCGCCTACTGGAAAATCGCGTTGAGGCCTACGTCCAGCAATGGACTGCCGGCTGATGAGTGGAAATGCTAAGATCTAACAAATTTAAACCTCCAAACCCGAGTATTAGGACTTTGGTGCGAGATATATGGTACTTCCAAGGTAAATTCGCGCGCTAAGCGTGGCGATTTTGGCAAATAAATGAAAAGTGAAGCCATAGCCTTATAAAGTGTTAATAAAGAAGACCGTACTGCTTAACAAGTAGTAAACATAAGGTAGAACAACTGGTGAGCGAGCCAGTGACAACAATTATAATGTATTCTTAACGAAGCAACAAAATATGGCTTCTTATAGTTCATAAAAGATAACTTGATCTCTGCGACAGCTGTCAGTAAAATCACGCCTATGAAGTCCTGAATTTCTTAGTAGTACACACAGTACCTGTCAATGTCATACTTTATGGGCATGCCGACCTAATTAGTGCATGCCCATAAAGTGTGACATTGACAGGTACTGTGTGTCTGTACTACTAAGAAATTCAGGACTTCATAGGCGTGATTTTACTGACAGCTGTCGCAGAGATCAAGCTATCTTTTATGAACCATAGTTAACATCAGATGGTGATGTTTATACAAGTGCGGGTGACAAATGAGTATGTACTCCACTTGATGGTAAGTCAAAGTGAATTCTGTGGCTCATAGACATTTTACATCTAACATCGATTAAGAACCAAAATGCAGATGAGATGCAACCATAATAAAGGTACAGCGTGGCTCTACCCCCTAGGAGATATAGTCAATGTATATGTAGGCGAATGGTGGTCATCTTCAGATGCACTCATGACAAAATATAAGAAAATACTATAAACAGATCGTTAGCAATTCATCGTAAATATATTGTATGCTGCCAGATGATATTTTTTTCCAAAAATCGTATAAACAACAACGGTTGCCACATTGACTAATCTAACCAGTATTTTATAGGTGTGCCAAATTATATACAATTTTTACTTACGTTGCAGCCGGACAAATGGTAGGTGCGCGTAAAAGCAGCTGTGCCAACGCAGGATGATGCAGTTTCCGAGCGGATCTGACCAATCGTCCCCACAAGCCCACTATTGAGCCGCTGTCCATGTTCTCGTCAACGCTGGTCATCTCACCGTCAGGGGTTTGCTTGACTCTGAGATTACAATGTACGATAGTAAGTATCCAGTTAACTAAAAATCATAGACCGTTAGCTGTTTCCCGCAACATCGCCTTCGCGTGGAATTTATTAAGATTGGATTTTATGGGTTTTAATTTTTTTTTGCGCGGAAACTTAATTTTTTTTTAATAAAAGAAATCTAAGTTACTCCTTATAGCACCAGCTATTTGACATTGAAAGTCCCGTCAAAATAGGTCCAGGAGTTTCGGAGATTAGCTGGAACAAACAGACAGACAAACAAACAAAAAATTTAAAAATAAGTGAAGTAGTAGATTTATTTGTATAGATGTACAGATAGGCCTCTGCATAAATACAGTCTCCTTTACAGTCAAGAGAGATCTCTGTTAAACATCGGCATCAATGACCTCACACCTCCGTATTTTGCGATAGTTGTCACGCTTAGCAGACGGGTTTGTAATTTTTTTTTATAGAATAAGGATGACAAACTAGCACACAGTCCACCTGATGGTAAGTGGTTGCTGTGGCCCCTAGACATCTACATTTATCATCGATTAAGAATCAAAACGCAGATGCGTTGTCACCCCTGAGGACTAAGATGGAATGTCTCGTTTCCAGTAAAAAAGGGTCTCCGGATCTCTACACTCACCATACGAAACACAGCAGTATTAAGCTGCTATTTCACGCTGGTATTCTGTGAGAGCGTGGTCCTCACCCGGTCGAGCCGATCCATTCATGCTACAACCATAATATAACTGCAACGTGGCTCTTTTTTTTTTTTTATAGAATAGGGTGACAAACGAGCACACAGTCCACCTGATGGTAAGTGGTTGCTGCGGCCCATAGACATCTACATCTATCTTCCATTACAAATCAAAATGCAGATGCGTTGTCACCCGCGAGGACTGAGATGGAATGCCTCATTTCCAGTAACAAGGGTCTCCGGTTCTCTACACTCACCATACGAAATACAGCAGCATTAAGCTACTATTTCACGCTGGTATTCTGTGAGAGCGTGGTCCTTCCCCGGTCGAGCCGACCCATTCGTGCTACAACTATAATATAGCTGCAGCGTGACTCTACCACGTGTAACTGCAGTTTTTTTATAATTTTGAGTTTATATCAAGAATGCTGCCCACATTGAGCTATGTACTACGTACTAGATTTACACTGCATTTAGTTACGCTGTACCATTCAATTGCGGTGTTAGCGCCGCACTTTACTCAGTTACTCGCTAGGCGCTAGTGAGTTGACATATATTGACTAATTATATTAAAAAATATTCTCGATAAAATATGCTTTGGTGTGTTTTTAGACATTTCACAAATAATTCAAGTAATGTTAGCAAATATCAAGGAATAACTTTTTATCGGTTAATAAGATACTTAATCAATATAAAAAGTATCATAGTTATAGATTAATAATAAAACCAGTTGTTCTTATGACGCCATCTCGTGTCATGGAATATACATTATGAAATTAATTTGTTCAGATGCGACATTTCTGTGGGTACTTATTTATAGGACGAATTTATTATTATGCACAATTTTTTTGTAGAAATACATATAAGTCATCATAATTAGGTTAAATTTTTTTATATTTAAATGTGCTCATTATTCCTTTAATTTATTTTTAGGTTTCCACATCTAAGTCAAAGTGGAATAAATTCGTCGATTTTTAACTCTCCCGTGCCCAGCATTTATGAATGACTCCTAATCTAATTTATATATATATATATATATATATATATATATATATATATATATATATATATATATATATATATATATATATATATAGAATGGGTCCCACATATATGCAATAAATGAAACCATAAGTAATACTAGTCCGTAGAAGTGTAGAAAAATTAAATATTAAATTAAAACGCGTAAAATAAAAAAGTGAAATTTTCAAACAAAATAAATATTAAAATAAATTCAGTAAAAGTGAACACTCTGTTTAGACAACGTACCTTGACCCCTTGGAAGAGTGACAACGTTGCACGCGGATGGCACGCCGACAAAAGACACCGCTGTCGATAGGTCGCAATACCAATAGTTTGCACTGCGTGGCAACGTCGCTTTTTAATGTTCAAGGATTCAAGTTCATTGAATCATTGACTTAGTGACCCAATTATAATAATAATAATAATAATAATAATACTTCCAGAGTGATCAGAAGAGGCTCTATGAATCATTGGAGCGACCAATGGTAAGTGGAACGGGTCCAGCACCGAATCAGGCCGACACTGTAGCATTCTGGCGCGGCCTGTGGTCAGAGCCCGTAAACCACAGCGAGGGCCCTTGGACGGAAGTTGTGGCGAGTCAGTGTGCGGGTATTACGCCCATGGACCCCGTCATCATAACGCCGGATGACGTAGCTGAGGCGGTCCGTAGGGCCCCGAACTGGAAAAGTCCGGGGCTTGACGGGCTGCATCACTACTGGCTGAAGGGGTTCATGGTGTGTCACTCTGTGCTTGCCCGACAGTTTCAAGAGGCTCTCAACCAGAAGTCGCTCCCAAGCCTCTTCACTACTGGGATCACTCATTTGGTTCCTAAAGACCAGGGTACCACAGACCCGAGCAAATACCGCCCCATCACGTGTCTACCGACCATATACAAGACACTAACATCCATTTTGAGCGCGAGAATCACTTGTCACCTGGACTCAAATCAGGTGATGTCGCGTGCTCAAAATGGATGTCGGGGCGGTGGTCGTGGAACCAAGGAACCACTCCTCATTGACGCGGTCATTGGCAAAGTGGTGAAACGCAACCGTCGGAACTTCTCCGCCGCCTGGATAGACTACAGAAAGGCATTCGACTCGGTGCCCCATACATGGCTAAAGAGAGTCCTCGAGCTGTACAAGATAGACTGTACAGTTAGAGACTTCCTTGAGCAGTGTATGGGGCAGTGGAGTACGATCCTTTGTCATCTGGGCGAGCGGATGATGGCTGCGGAGAACCACATAAGGATAAGAAGGGGTATCTTCCAGGGCGATTGTCTGAGTCCAATCTGGTTCTGCCTCTCTCTGAACCCTCTCAGTACCTTACTGGAGGGCTCCGGGAGGGGATTTCAGCTACGGAGAGGAGGGACAAAAGTGACCCACCTTTTCTATATGGATGACCTCAAGTTATTCGCCTCCAGTCGCTCCCATCTTATGGAATTGCTAAACATCACTTGTGAATTTAGCAATTCCATTGGAATGGAGCTTGGGACGGATAAGTGTGCGGTCCTCCATGTTGAAAGGGGAAGGGTTGCTAACTCTGAGGGCGTAGACTTATCTATGCCCGTCAACTTAAGGACCCTTTCCGAGGCTGAAACATACCGATACCTGGGTATGTCACAAAACATCGGTATCGATGAGACTGGTATGAAACAGTCAGTTTGCGACGTGTTTTATGCACGCTTGACCAAAGTGCTTAACAGCCTTTTGTCCGGTGTGAATAAGGCACACGCATATAACGGCTGGGTCATGCCTGTCCTCATGTATACCTTTGGCATACTCAGGTGGACTCAGACTGAACTTAACGCCCTGGATAGAAAAGTCCGCACTACCATGACGTCCCATAGGATGCATCATCCGAGATCGTCGGTAATGAGGTTGTACTTGTCGCGGAAGCATGGTGGTCGTGGCTTCTTGAGCGCGCTCACCATGCATAATCGCGAAGTGTGCAGCCTCCGTGATTACTTCCTGGCGAGATCGGATGATCCATTCTATATGGACGTCATTTCTTGTGATAAAGGACTTACCCCTCTATCCTTAGCCAACGAGCAATGGCAAGACCCGGCAGTGCAGAGCATTTCCGACCGAGAGACCGTATGGAAGGAGAAGGAGCTCCACGGGAGGTTCTACAAGGCTCTACATGAGCCTTTCGTAGACACAGTAGCCTCCCTCCACTGGCTACGCTTTGGTGATCTCTTCGGGGAAACCGAGGGTTTTGTCTGTGCAATACAGGATCAGGTTATTAAGACCAACAACTATCGGAGATACATCCTAAAGGATGGCACCGTCGACATCTGTCGAGCTTGTCGCCATCCCGGTGAGTCACTTAGGCATGTTATCTCTGGTTGTTCGGCGCTTTCTAACTCTGAGTACTTGCACAGGCACAACCTAGTAGCCAGAATTCTACACCAGGAGCTCGCTCTGAAATACGGTCTCGTGGACCGGAAATTGCCGTACTACAAGTACTTGCCGGAAGCCGTGCTCGAAAATGATCGCGCCAGGCTCTATTGGGACCGGGCCATCATCACAGACAGGACTATTCTTGCGAATAAGCCTGATATTGTGCTGATGGACCGGGCACAGTCAAGGATATTTTTGGTCGACATTACCATTCCGTATGACGAGAACCTCGTGAAAGCCGAAACAGACAAGCAAACAAAATATCTGGACCTGGCTCACGAGGTGACCGACATGTGGGGTGGTCTGCCGACCGAAATTATTCCTGTAGTCGTCTCTGCAAACGGGCTAATCCCAGTCAGCCTCTCGGGTCATCTGAGGCGGCTGGGACTACGTGGCGGACCGCTCCAGGTTCAAATGCAGAAGGCGGTGCTCCTCGATACCGCCCGCATCGTCCGCCGGTTTCTTTCCCTTTCCCCCTAACCCTCGGCCGTTTGGTCTCCCCTGCCGAGGGCCTCCATCTGGTTGGGCTTTTATTTATTTATGTACTTTTATATTTATTTTATGTTATTGATATTTATGTATATTTATTTTTTCATTTTCATTTATAATTATATATTTATAGAACCCAACCAGATGAGAAAACTATATAGATACCCCATAATAATAATAATAATAATGTTTATTTCTCCTCACAAATACCGACCATACATAATAAAAACTTATATATATTTAAATACAGGTATGTTCACACTCATAGCCTAGAATCTGTGAAGAGCTGGTGTTTGAGATAGGCAATAAAATGCCTGTATTACAAATCACCAGGTCTCCACCCCATGAGATATAAATAAGAGCATTATTTGTAATTGACCGCTACAGATATTGTAGATCTTATAATAATAATAATAATATTCCAAAACTATCACACAACGCCATCTAGTCCCAAGCTAAGCAGAGCTTGTGTTATGGGTACTAGACAACTGATAAACATACTTATATATTTCTAAATACATAAATATTATAGATAAATTACACCCAGACACAGAACAAATGATCGTGTGCTCCATCACACAAACATTTGTCCTGGGTGGGATTCGAACCCACGACCTCCGGCTTAGCAGTCAGGGTCACTAACCACTAGACCAACAGGCCTGGCCTTAGGATCATAATGTATTATTAATCAATGATATATAATCAATGTCAATATATATATAAGTGACATTTTAATTTATATTTAAAACAAAAATTGTACTATAAAAAAAAAGATAAATATAAAGTAACAGTGGTTTCGTAACCTCAACCTCATATTGTGTGTGTGTGTGTGCGCGCTTATGTTAACATTTTTTATTTATAGAGTAAGTCTTCTGTACGGTTATAATCCAATTTTTTTAACCACTCCGCTACAATAAATTTGCATTTAGTTTTCGTAAGCGAGTATATTGATAGTTCCTTATTCAATTTATTATAAAGGTTACTACTTTGGTAACAGAAAAATCGACGTGTAAGGCTACTTCTGTATAAAGTAATATTGCAGACTTTATCCTTGCGGCGCTGATTCCTAAATATCTCTGGTTCATATTTTAACTGGAAATGTTTTTTAAGGATGGTATATAAAATGTAAAGCTGGCGTACAGTCAGGACTTTCCATTTTTGATAGAGGTCATACGTTGGATAATCAAATGGTAGGAACGAGCTCATTTTTAAAAGTGCTCTTTGGGCTCGTTCAATTTTCAGTATATGTGTTTTACAGGCACCACCCCATGAAGTGATACAGTACATGAGTTGAGACTGGCAAAGAGCGAAGTAAACTGATTTTATTACTTTTTAAACTGATTTTATTAATTCTATAGTGTTGAAATTTGCTTAAAATTAAAACTCTACTTTTTGACCTAATTACTGGACCGATTACGTTCATTTTTTGTATATCGTCAGCAAAGGCGATAACAAGTACATGGTTTCATTTATTGCATATATGTGAGACCCATTCTGTATATATATACGAGGGTGGATTGAAAAGTACTCGGCCTAACCAAGAAAATAAACAGATACTAAATCAGTTATATTTTTATTTTTCTACATAATCACCATCAAGTTCAATACACTTTTGCCACCTCCCCTTCCAAGCATTTAGACCGTTGAAAAAAAATTGATTCTTCCTTAGAGTCAAAATATGCGTCTACAGCTGCTTTGACCTCGTCGTTTGTCGAAAATCTTTGGCCTCCCAAGTGCTTTTTTAGGTTAGGGAACAGAAAGAAGTCTGATGGTGCCAGATCAGGTGAATACGGCGGATGCGGTAACAGTTCAAAGCCACAGTTGTGAATTTCAGCCATTGACTGTACTGACGTGTGAACACGGGCGTTATCTTGATGAAACAGGACTTTTCTTCTGAGCATTCCTCGACGTTTTTCTTTTATTTCCTCTCGTAAACGACGTAGTAAGGTGCAGTAGTAATCAGAGTTTATAGTCTGACCCCTTTCAAGATAATCAATCATAATCACACCTTTCGAGTCCCAGGATACTGAAGCCATCACCTTATTTGCCGACAAAATCGACTTAGCCTTTTTAGGGGTGGTGAACCAGGTCTTCTCCACTGTTTTGATTGTTGTTTTGTTTCCGGTGTACAGTAATGAACCCATGTTTCGTCCATAGTAACAAAACGATTCAAAAAATCATCTGCATCGGCTTCAAATAACTCCAAACAGTCGCGTGAAATAGTCAATCGCGTCCTTTTTTGTTCAACTGAAAGCAGTCGCGGAACCCACCTCGCAGACACCTTGTGGAAACCCAACTCGTTGACAATGATGTTTTGAGTTCGTTCATAAGAGATGCCTATAATCTTGGCTATCTCTCTAATTTTTAATCTGCAGTCTCCCATTATTAAATCAAGTACTTTTTTAATATTTTCGTCAGTAGTTGACGTCGAAGGCCTTCCAGAGCGGGGTTCATCTTTCACACTCTCTCTACCACGCTTAAATTCTGCTATCCATTTTTTTGACGGATGAATATGACAGAGCACAATCGCCTAATGTACTGACCATGTCATCATGGATGGCTTTTGATGATAGCCCCTTCTTATGGAGGTACTTAATGACGGCACGCTGCTCGATTTGCTCCATTCGCGGAAATTATGTCCGATTACTTTGTTAATAAATTTATAAAATCACAATTAATTATCGCACACGTTTCGAACTTCACACAATGAACTAGTCTGAACTGAACTAAATAATGTGGGTAGATTTGATTTTTAGAATTGAATGGATCTGTGTTAGGCCGAGTACTTTTCAATCCACCCTCGTACGTAAATATATATATATATATATATATGTATGTACGTATTTTAAATGTTATGTTATTAAGTTTTGTTAAACATACTTTTAGTATGTTTTTTTATATTTGACATAATTACCTTTTAAAATATGTATTCAGATAAAAAATATTATTAAAATGTAATAATATTATATTAAATAAACAAATATAATATACAAAATAAATGACAATATTTAAAATTGTACTCGATATAATTAAACTATTTAATAATACAATCTATTATTACTACTGATTTTTGTTGAAAAAAAACGAGCGAATACAGAGTAGCGTACGTTTTTTTGTTTAAAACAGCTGTTCTAGTACGTAAGTACATATTACAATGGCTGCCCATGTCCTTTTTTAGTTTTTCATTGTTGCCTCTTACGACAACCACAGTATCATGGAGTATACACTCCATACACAGTATGGGACTTACGTCACCCAAACATATGGGTTAGTGGACAACGCTATTACAACGTGGATAGTCTTCTTGATAAAAATTCAAATTTTAATAAAAATTAAAACCTTAATAAAATTAAAGACTTCATAGAACTAAAAATAATACACGAGTGGTAATTATATAGCAAAAATCTGTTGGTTGTCATGGAGTCATGAACTATGGTAATTAACGATGGTTTCCTGTTGATAAAACATGACCTCCTCAGTAAAATAAAATACTTACAAGCAAAGCAACTTGAGCACATCCCTTGCAGACTTCAACTCTCCTGTGTCACCTTTATTCTGTGGGGTGTGATGATGAAGGATATTCGAACGCTTTTGTATAACTGACCAAGCTGAAAACAAAAATCAATCATAAATCGCATGAAGTGTGGCCGAGATTTGCTTGTTTTATAACATTTAATGAGTTTTTCATTCAACGACCTCGCTATCAATATATTTTTCGAAGATATTTTGCTTAAATTATTGAATGATAAATGATACATTCAAAAGGCATCTTTGGAGGACGCCTTCACCCAATCAGAGGTTCTTGCATAAAAATACTAACAAAACTAACTATAATAATTCAAAGTTAAATTAACTAAATGACATATCTACTAGAAATAAGATAACCGAAAGAAAATAAAGCCTTTTTTATTTAATTTATAAATGATATATTAATAAATTATAAAAATATATATAATATATATAATATGATTTGGTCATGTAGAAAGAATGAATGAGAAAAGAGTGACAAAGCAAATTTATATGGCAGATGTGAACGGTCGAGTCGGGAAGGGACGCCCTAGAAAAAAGTTTATCGACCAAATTGGCGATATTTTGAAAAGGGGCCACGTTAGAAGTACCCTTAACCGACGAGCATGTATGCGTAGATATATGGATGTAAAGGAGGCGAAAGAGGTATGTCAGGATCGTGCCAAATGGAAGTCCATAGTCTCTGCCTACCCCTCTGGGTGACAGGCGTGAGTGTTTATATATTTATTTATATATATATTATAAAAATATTTTTAGCCAAATATTACTTCTTTTTATAGAATAAGGGTGACAATCGAGCACACAGTTTACCTGATTGTCAGTGGTTTCTGTAGCCCACAGGCATAAACATATATCCTCATTAAGAATCAAAACATAGATGCGTTGTGCCCCCTTCAGATGGAATGCCCCATTTCTATTAAAAAGGGTCGCCGCTTCTCTATACTGACCATTAGAAACAAAACACGTTTCGTACGTGGTAGAGCCACGCTGCAGCTATATTATGGTTGTAGCACGAATGGGTCGGCTTGACCGGGGAAGGGCCACGCTCTCACAGAATACCAACGTGAAATGGCAGCTTAACGCTACTGTGTTTCGTATGGTAAGTGTAGAGAACCGGAGACCCTTTTTTACTGGAAACGAGGCATTCCATCTTAGTCCTCAGGGATGACAACGCATCTGCGTTTTGATTCTTAATTGAGGATAAATGTAGATTTCTATGGGCTACAGCATCCACTTACCATCAGGTGTACTGTGTGCTCGTTCATCACCTTTATTCTATGAAAAAATACATTAAGCTGCTATTTTAAGCTGGTATTCTGTAAGACCGTGGTCCCTCTCCGGTTGAGCCGGCCCATTCGTGCTACAATCATAATAAGGTGATTGCAATATTTACGAAATAACCTTTAAACATAATTTTTAATACAAAGCCTTGTATTCACTAGGGGACAAAGTCGAACGATCGCGAACAGTCGCGGTTCATTTACGTGCGACAGTCCGCGAACAGTCGCGGCTCATTTACGTGCGACAGTTGCGAACAGTCGCGGCTCATTTACGTGCGACAGTCCGGGAACAATGTCGGCGGACATTTTACTCGTCTACATACTAAATTTGTGGTCGTGATGTATGTAGTCCGAGGAGGTGCGGTTTATATAAGTGCGGTTTATATAGTTATGTGATCGAGCCTCATCTCAGACTTGCGATAACATTGAGATACTTAGCAACTGGCAATAGTTATAGTTTATTGTCTTATACTTTCAAAGTGTCAAAACAAATTAATATATATATTAATAATAATTAGAGGATTTCAATATATTAAAAGACCTGTTATTTTTATTAAAGCAAACATGGTTTAATTTTATTGCCAATGGAAGCATAAGTTTAATAAGAAAGTCAACAATAATAATTTTTGAGGCAAATTGAATTGTATAGGAATAAAATACGTTCATGTAACATGATGCAATTTTCCATTAAATATAGGCAGAAGGCCTATATTTAATGGAAAATTGCAAAGGCCTAATATACTGGTCACATCTTTTTAAGTTTAAGCCACTAACCTTTAGGTTGGGATTCCATAACTTCAATATCAGTTTTATTAAGTTCCTTGATCAGCTCCAAGTCCTGAATAACGGTTGATATTGCGCCAGAGTTCTTTCCGGAGAAGGGTTCGAAGAGATGTCTTTCTCGACAGTTCACAGCTTTGTAAATGTTATGGTCAACTGTGATACGGCATTTGCTTTCTGATTTTAAAACTGGCCAGGTTTGAAATTTCTACAAGGAAATAAATAAGAATGTTTTACAATTTTAAAGTCGCATTGTGTTTTGCACGTATCGCAACGCGCGAGGGTGGGAGTGCTCTCCTCTCGACACGCTGTTATGTGACAATTTTGCAATATAAAATTGTTAGTATTTCTCAATTTAGACACTAAATCAATTAAAAGGGATGTTTTGAAAACTAGATATACAGGTTGTTAGTGTAAACACCGTTATCCTTGAAACCAGTGGTTTGGTTTTACTTACCTTACCGTTCGTAAATTCATGGATACCCATGAATTTACGAACGGTGTCGGACAGAAACTTTTTAAATTTTATGAAAGAAAATAGTGTTTTTTTTTTAATTCATTGAATTTACGTTCTATAGGTGAAACCAAACCACTGGTTTTAAGGATAACTGTGTTTACACTAACACCCTTTATTGAATTATAAAGTGAGCATATTAATTTACTCATTTGTGTAGTTATGTTTACAAAAAATGTAGTTAAAAGATTATTAGTATTGCTCAGTTAGTCTGTGCACTTGACACGTTTAAGAAAAATATATGCAACTAAATGAAATAAATCTTTTTGAATATGTTTCCATTTATCCCCAGAAAGATCCCTATCGCTAGTTGTTATCAGACTCATAGAGAAAATTATAATATTATATTAATTTTTAATTTTAATGATATTAAAAAATAAAAACGCTCATGATGCGTACACTTTTGAATTTTCTAAACTATTCTTTACTTAATAGAATTTTCTTTTATTTAAGATGTTTAGATGATTTATTTTTAGTTTACAAAACATATAATATATTGTGTCACACCAAATGGTTAACTGGAGAATAATAATAATAATATATAAACTTTTGTCATGTGTGAATAAGACACCCACATATAACGGTTGGGTCATGCCTGTCCTCATGGTATACCTTTGGTATACTTTAGTGGACTCAGACTGAATTGAACGCTCTGGATAGAAAAGTTCTCACTGCCATGACGTCCCATAGAATGCATCACCCGAGATCGTCGGTAATGAGGCGTGCTTGCACCGTGGAAAGCATGGTGGGCGCAGCTTTTTAAGCGCTCTCACTACGCATAATCGCGAAGTGTGCAGCCTCTGTAAATTACTTCCTGGCGAGATCAGGTGTTCCATTTTAAAGAGACGTCATTTCGTGTGATAAAAGGCTAACCTCTCTATCTTTAGTCAACGAGCAATGGCAAGACCCGCAGTACAGTGTATTTCCGACCGGGAGACCGTATGGAAGGAGAAGGAGCTCCAAGGGAAGTTCTACAAGGCTCTACATGAGCCTTTCCTCACACAGTAGCCTCCCTCCACTGGCTACACTTTGGTAACCTCTTCGGGGAAACCCATTGTTTTGTCTGTGCAATACAGGATCAGGTTATTAAGACCAACAACTATCGGAGATACATCCTAAAGGATGACACCGTCGAAATCTATCAAGCTTGTCGCCATTCCGGTGTGTCACTTAGGAATGTCATCTCCAGTTGTACGGCGCTTTCTAACTCTAAGTACTTTGCACAGGCATAACCTAGTAGCCAGAATTCTACACCAGGAGCTCGCTCTGAAATACGGTCTCGTGGACTGGAAATTGCCTTATTACAATACTTGCCGGAAGCCGTGCTCGAAAATGACCGCACCAGGCTCTGTTGGGACCAGACCTTCATCACAGACAGGACTATTCTTGCTAATAAGCCTGATATTGTGCTGATGGCCCGAGCACAGTCAAGGATATTTTTGGTCGATACCATTAACATTACGATTACTATTTCATATGACGAGAACCTCGTGAAAGCCGAAACAGATAAGAAAACAAAATATCTGAACCTGGCTCACGAGGTGACCGACATGAGTGGTGGTTTGCCAACCGAAATTATTTCTGTAGTTCTCTGCGAATAGGCTAATCCCGGTCAGCCTCTCGGATCATCTGAGGCGACTGGAACTCCGTGATGGACCGCTTTGAACTCAATTGCAGAAGGCTGTGCTCCTGGATACAGGCCGCATCGTCTGGCGATTTCTTTCCCTTTTCCCTAACCCCCGGGCGATTGTTCTCCCCTGCAGAGGGCTTCCATCTGGTTTGAATTTTATTTATTTATGTATATTTATCATTTCCTTTCATATATTTATTCAGCTCAACCAGATGAGAATACTTTATAAATACCCCCTCAATAACAATAATAAACATTTATTAGAATTAAACCTAAATAATTTGGTAAAGACCAGTCTAGAAGATATAGTATGAGATCTCCAATATTAATGTATAATCTTTACATTGGAGAATAACTTACATACTTAAATATATATGGAAATATGTCAATATAATTCATATAATTTATTGTTTTGGATGCAGATTAAGCATTTGGAATTTGTTAATATGGGTTATATCTGAATGACGAATTCTTATTAGGACTATGATATATATTTTGTAAAAACGATGACTAGAGACATACATAATGGAGTATCAAACTTATTATAATGAAATTTGCATGTCTTAGAAATAAAATTCGGGGACATGTGTCGAGCAGTATGGTGAAACAATTGCTCTACATAAAACTCTCAGGACATGAGAGGAAGGCTGAGCCAGTGGGATGTACATAGGTTATAGTTCTGAGTTAAACAAATAAACTGATCAAAGTTCTAAGCACATTATAACTTACACTTTGAAAATCGTAACGCACAGTCTGCAATATAGACATGTATTTGTATCTATCCGTACATAAAGCCAGATCCCTCTTCTTTACCAGAATCAAGCTGGTGTTCTCTTGTCCGCGTACTGTGTACTCAACGTTGCATGTGCCATGAATGTCTTGCTGGAAAAGAAGTTGAAAAGAATATAATAATGAAATTACTCTTGTTGCGCAATGTTGTAAACTTAAAACATGAAGACATTAAAATTATTAATGATATATTTATTAGTGTAAACAAACAGAAATAAACTAAGATAATTGAATTAATATAATACTGACATGGAAGATGAAAAACAGTACATTGAGTCGGACCTAAATCAGCTATTCAGGTTTTTTCAAGAAATTTGCGGGGGGAGAGGGAGGGCCTCAGGGATAATCTCACGAAGTTTTTCCCCACAAGAAACAGTGTAAAATTTCGAGAAAATTGGGTTAAATTAAATAAAATATGGCAAAATCTTACCTACACAATAATATTTATCGCGGTTATGCGAACTCCACAAACTGTATAAAAATAATTCAGCAAGTTTTTTATAAATTACAAATTACAACTAACGCACGACGCACAAATAACGTATTGACTCTAAAAACACGCATTTTGATAAATCTTACGTGTGATTTGGGGGGGCGGAGGATGTGAGAGGGTTGAATCATGTCTCAACGCATCTCACCAGGTAGAGGAGGGTAGAAAAATCGCCTCACGTAAATAATGGACTTTTTCAGTAACAGCCCAGAGTAAGGATGTTGGTGGTGTTTCACACCGTGACTAAAATCACGTAAAGCCGTTGGTATTGCGCCTATTTCTCTTTGGTCGTGTGCGATTGCCATTTTATCGGTATGTGGGAATAAACCTGTGATTGCGTACACAATCGTGTACTATAACCCTATCCTGAGCAGATGGCTCGTCTCCGTTGAGACTGGTGATCTAGACCAAACTATTCGGTATGGAGGAGTTAATTATAATACACGACAAAATTTAAAAGTACACGGTATTTAAAATATTATTATTGTAAAAGACTGAAAATATTACAAAACTGAATTCCACTTAAATTAAGAAATTATTTATTCAAGGAAGTATGTTTTAGACTTATTACCTCAACCCCATTGAAATTGATGTCAAATCTCTTCATACTATTTTGAAAGAGCGATAGTATAGCTCTCTTGAAGTTAAGGACCCAATCTTCCTCCAAGTTATCAGGACATATTTCGGATATGATGCCATCATGGAATGCAAATCTAAAAAGAAAAGAATAATTTGATGATTTTGTTACGGCTAAGAAACATATTGGAGTGGTGCTTTATAATTCTGACAACACAGTTTCAGAACAAACCACCTTTTTGCATTACTAACTACTTGTTTTTTTTTTTTGGTGGAAATTCATAAGCAATAGTGACAGAAATAGATAAGTGTATTACCTAACTAAACGAACTTTTAGGCAGAAAATAAATAGTTTTCTTAAAATATTGAATCAGAATAATATATTTATTATTATTATCATTATTTGTATTATCTATTCCCCCCTATGTTGGGTTTCATTGCACTGGAAAGGAAATCCACAATTTATATAATAAATATCGTTGGAAGGCTGTTAGACATTCAATAGTATTAAAATATTTCACAACACAGATTGGCTATTGTTAACTTTGTATCTTTTTGATTTATAGTAGATAGATAAGCCTTAATATGTAGTTTTTTGTCATGAATAAAATAAAATGGAAATCATTACAGTCTATGAAAAGATTGCCTCATATGGGGGGGGGGGGGGATATTTGCCATAGTTGCCACACTTGGCAGGCAAGTAGAAAATCGCGGTTTTTTATTATTTTATTATTAGAAGACACTGCTGGCCATCTCTTTTTCATTTCTCCTTGTCACCTTTTACGATAATGGAATGAATGATAATGAGGTAATGGATTGCTGTGTAGTAACGTCGTCAGAGAACCAATAAAACGTTAAAAATAGTAAAATTACAGCCTATATACGTCCCACTGCTGGGCACAGGCCTCCTCTCATTTCTGAGATGGTTTTAGGGCAAGGAAGTGTCCGCCGCGCTGCCCCAATGCATGTTGGCGAACTTCACATGTCCTCGAAATATTTTTTTCTTATTCCTCAGACATGCAGGTTTCCTCACAATGTTTTCCTTCACCGCCGAGCATGTGGTAAATCAGGACTTAAAATTGCAATTAACAATTTCATTGGTGCCGGTGGGGATTGAAATAGGGTTACTCGTATTCTGTTATATTTACAGAGAGCGTTAACCACCTGAGCTACCATGGACCAATAGTAAGAAAATTACATTAAAATTGTCATCTAATCCTAATGGTTATTTAAAGCAGCTAGATCACAAAGTGACTATTATAATTTTAAACTCCTATAGTTGTGTTATTGACACTTAGTAGGTAGGATTTAAAAAAAAGGTACCTGAGGTCAAACTGTGAGAGAGCTTGTATAAACTTCTCAGTTCTTTCGATTGGATAGTATTCATCCTGATCTGTAAGTATTATGTCTTCTAAGTGCAGCAGACCTTCACAGGGGCTAATGAATTGCACTTTGACCTGTAATTAGAAATATTATGCAACTTTATTTTTTAGTGATTAAAGCACCTGACTACTTTGTCAAGAATTTTGGGTTTTAATCACGGCCATAGCAAATTTTATGCAAAAAGACAAACTGTTTGTTAAGTAGAAATTAAATTCTAGCCTACCTAACATGTTACTGCATAAGTATCACTTATTAGGTAGGTTTTTAGATTAAGGGTGATAAACTAGCAGATAGTTCACTTGATGGCAAGTTGAAACTGTGCCTCATAGACATCTGCATCTAACCTTTTTTTTAATAGGATAGAGTGACAAACGAGCACACAGTCTACCTGATGGTAAGTGGTCGCTGTGGCCCATTGACATCTACATCTATTCTCAATTACAAATCAAAATGTAGTTGCGTTGTCACCCGTGAGGACTAAGATGGAAATGCCTTGTTTCCAATAACAAGGGTCTCCGGTTCTCTATACTCACCATACGAAACACAGAAGTATTAAGCTACTATGTTACGCTGGTATTCTGTGAGAGTGTGGTCCTTCCTTGGTCGAACCGACCCATTCGTGCTACAACTATACTACTAATATAACTGGCTCCACCACATATAAAACCTCGATTAAGAATCAAAATGCAGATGTGTTGTCACTAATAGAGACTAAGATTAATTGCCACATTTCCTGTGAAAAGGGCCTTCATCTCTTTACACTCACCATATGAAACACGGCAGCATAAAGTCCCCACTTCACACTAGTATTCCTTTCTGGTCAAGCTGACCTTTTCGTGTTACAACCATAGCACAGCTGCTACGTGGCTCTATCATGTGTATAATATGTTGTTAAGATGACTGAGTGATTTCGTCTTTGCACACTCAATTGCGGACTATGACACTGAATGTAACTAGTTTTACGGATTTTATTGTACTAACTTATTTTGAATTCCCAATGATTCAGGTACTTTCCAGCACCCATGGTCACAGGGGTAAATATGAGAAATCGATATGTGGACTATAATTTTACATAGTTCATATTTGGTTATATTCCGTGTATCATTGACAGTATCCAATTGTGTCAATAAGGTCTAAATTGGTTAGGAGAATATCATCATCATAATATTAAAAAAGTATAACATATTATCATATAATTATATAAGTAAGTAAATTAGTAATTATAGATAAGTAAATTAATAATTATTAATATATTTTACTCTAAGGGTGGTATTCAGGTAAAATCTCAAGTTTTATCTTAAACTCTGCAATATCAAAATTTGGGTCTAGTCTGGATCATTAGTTTAGTTACAAGTAACGACAGGCGTTGTCTAAGCGCGTATTTTGCGTGTGGGCAGGAATATTTCGATTATTCGAGCAATGAAATCTCTGCGAAGTAGTTCAACAGCCCTTTGACACTGCAAACAACTTCGGGGAGTGATCCCGGCGTGCCTATATGTTTAGTCCTATATGTAGCGATCTCCAGACATGCCAGCAACACATGGGTTGTGGTTTCCTCCTCCCCCATACATGCCCTGCACAGGGGGTTTGTTAAATGAGCCATTTCCTGTTATAGCACTTGTTGCTATCCTTATCTGTGGCTATCTATCTCATATAATGTGACACAAATTTTGACATTGTCAAGTTTAAGTTAAAACTCACGAGTCTTAGAATACTAGTCTTAAATTAATGTCAAAGTATTACATTGGGTAATGAAATTCATATGATATTCTCATGGACAGGAGGACATGCAAAGTCTGCCAACATGAAAGGGGGCAGCACAATGAACCCTTCTCTAGTCTCAAGCCCCCTTACGATGTGAGGAGGATTCCATCAGTGTATGTGGTAGACCCACAGTGCAGGTGCATACTAGCTACAGCATAAATGGGTCGGCATAACTGCGTATAGACCACACTGCAGAATTCCGATGTAAAAAGGCCACATAACGGTGCTGTGTAATATGGTAAGTTTAGAAAACCAGAGACCCTTTTTCCTATAACAAGGCATTCAATTTTAGTCGTCATCAACAGACAACACATCTAGATTTAGATTCTTAATTGATGATACAAGTAAGTATTTATGGGACAGTAGTCATTAACGATCAGTAGGACTGGGTGCCTGTTTGTTACCCTTTCAATTATTAAAATTCTGAGATGCAGTCTGCTGCTTTTCTTCACTTAAAATTCAATTTAAATGATCATTTTTTCAATAAATAAGGGATTTACTTTTAAAGTAATCTATAAGGAACAACAAATGAGTACTTAAACTATCACATTTGAGTATAGAGTAGTCCATATTAGGTACTGAGGCACAAAGTTAAAATTATATTGTAGTACACTTTATTTTCATTTATTTATTTATCACAGCCTATAAAAAGTCCACAACTGTACATACATAGGTATCCCTCACATATTGCCTCATAGGATAGATATTTGTCACACTTGGCAACCCTGTTATTGTTATAAGTTGATTCAGGGAGATGCTGCTGCTGCACATCTGCTGTTTCATTTCTTTCTGTCGCCTTTAACATCACCCAATGATGATCCACTGATCCTCTTACGTTACCACTATATAGCAACTTTATTTAGTTTAACCTTGATTGTTATATTCGATTGGATGAGAAATGATTAATGTGTTCCTTTTAAGTTTCTTTAATTTTCAACAGGGCAGTCTATTTCAGGGATACCCCATGTCATTGAAAGGTTTGCTCATACCCATTATGCTGGACAAGTAAGTTTGTAAGCATAGTACAAATATCTGTGAGATTTAAGTTCAAAATTTAGAATGGATGTGTTCATCAATTGCCAGAGAGCATGTTTGTTACGAGGTGAACTGCCTGCATGTGAGGTGACATTCAGATAAAAAGTTGTTACATCTACAAGGGATGCCATATTCTACACATACCTATGAAGGGGGTAAGTAAACAATAAAATACCTACTTTATATTACCCTGATGAAAGATTGGCTTAAAAGGGTTCAAGTTTTTCATAAACTTACTTGAGCTTTGGTATCCAGCCATGACCGGTAGTTGCTAGATCCAGCAAAATATGTTTCCACCTTTACTTTGTATTCATAGTAGTAAACTGTTTGGGAGAAATATTTGAATTTCTCGGAAGCTAAAATAAATCAAAATATAAGTTTGAAATGTACACATTTACAATACACATTTGCATTTATTTGTGTATAAAAATATTTGTATAGATATGAATAAATTATAAATTTGTACTCGCAGGTCTAGGTTAATGGTACTAGATGGAATGAATGGAATAATCTTATTGAGTAAGTAAATAAAGCTTATTTGTAAGCATACTAATATAATAAATATTGTTTCTCACATCGACATTGTTAATTATTAAACATTCAAATTTTAATGTAATAGGTAGTTTGCTGTAGACAAAATAGTGCAATATAACATTATTTAATGCTATGAAAATATTACTGCTGACGACAAATGGTCTTTAAAAAACGAAGTCTTTAAAAAACGAAGTCTTCAAAAAATTATTACCTGCACATGACGGTGGTCCACAGATATAGGGGTCTTTTAATGAATCTGTAATAAAATGTGTAATTTGGTCAATGGATAGTGGAAAATGATAATTTTTAATTTTGTAATTACACTTTATGGTTATGTTATGGTAATATTTACAAACAAATAAAAAAGTTGGTCGATTATTTTTTAAATTTCTTATGGTATTGGCTACTAGGCTTTCAGCCAACCACTTCAATATTTTTTATATAAATATGTTTTAGGAAAATTTATACTATTAAAAAATTTATATTAGTATGGTGCGACACATCGCTATGATTTTATGATAGTTTGATGGCAGCATAAACCAGCAAACCGTTAGCGACGATATTATTAGTTCCTAAGTTCTTAAGTCACCTAATCTCAAAAAATAACTAGAAGTCTACGCGCATGTACCTCCCAGGTTGATATCACCATATATAAATGTGACTTCAGGTTATTTAGTAGTAATTAATCTGAGATTAGCTCTTCAGTTTCATCGTTTCCACTAATTGTTCACATGCGCAGACATGAATCACAAGACATACCCCTTTTACTTATTATAAGCTACTTATTTCAAAATAACTTATAAACTATATAGAAAGATATTGAAGGAGGAACAATCCACTGGGTATAAAGTTCTCGCGAAAATTTAAAAGTAAATCGATAGGAAGTTATTGATCCACAAAATCGAGCAAAAAGAGCAATTGGAAAGTAATTTTAAAAGGAAAGAACCGTGGTATTCACGAGAGTAATTTTGGTTTGACCCAATTGATCCCCTTGACCACTGAAATTGTTAGTTGCAATTTTAAGTGCTAATTGACCACGTTTATTTTAAATAGAATAGGGGTGAAAAACGAGCAAATATTCCACCCCATGGAAAGTGGATGCTGTGGCTCATAGACATCTACTATATCTGTCCTCGATTAAGAATCAAAATGCGGATGCGTTATCACCCCTAAGCACTAAGATGGAATACCTAGTTTCCAGTAAAAGGATCTCCGGCTCTCTACACTCACCATACGAATTATAGTAGCATTAAGTTGCTATTTTACGCTGGTATTCGTCTCGAGCGTCGTCTGTCCCCGGTCGAACCGATCCATTTGTGCTACTACAATATATTGGCTCTACCACATAAAATCAGTTATGATTTATTTTATTTTTATCACAACAGCATTATGCCTAGCGGTGAATGAAAATATTATGAGAAAACCTGTATGTCTGAGAAATAAAAAAAATATTTAGAATACATATGAAATTTATTAACACGCATTGGGGCAGCGGGGTTAATACTGCCTTGGCATTGAACCCTCTCATGAATGAGAGGAGGTCTGTGCCCAGCAGTGGGACGTAATTAGGCTGTAAATTTACTTTTTTTACTTTACTTGAATAGCTTTTGCTGTCCGTATAAACTTTCTTGTAAATAAATAAGTAATAATTTAAAAGATAAAAGGTATAAAAGTTTATTTTCTTAATAAATTTATAAATATAAATAGTTAATTTATGCTTTGTTGACTGCACGATTACAAACCAATCCATTCTTATGAAGTTTTTATAGTCCCTATCTAAAGATATTTCACTAGCGTGGCGGATACAGCATTACAGACCGATACTTTGTCCTACCTATTGAATCTTATGTGGGTGTATCTAATGCTCTTCGTAGTCTTAAAATATCTATCAACGTTTGCTGAAAGGGTGGTGTTAAAATACTGAGCATAAACACAAGCTCGTACGACTGACACAGGCAAAGAACTCCATCCTAACAGTGTGAAAAACAACACTACAAAATCGGAACGGAATGCTTTGTGATTTGTTGGCCTTTAGGACTCTGCTGTGATTGAACTGCCTCAAAATCAAACACTGAAGCTATATATTTTTCCAGAAAATCCAAAGTAGTCCTTTGGCACTAGTATTTTATTCAGAACCTGATTTCATGTTACTGTCGCAGGTTGTCGTCGTCTAGATTACCTTGTTTATTTTTTGCTAGCCTCAGTTTCAATGAACCAATCGAAGTTGAGAACAATCAAAATTATAGCTACTGACCGACTTGAAAAAAAGGTTGAATGTAACAATTTGAATATTTTTGAATGTATGTTAAGCGATATTTAAGCTGATTTAGAACTGATTTCTTTAGGTTTTTCTCCGAAGTTTTGACTTCGAACACGGTCATATTTATTAAAAGTCCACCCTTAAGTGTAAAGTTGGAATAATTGGGGATGAAATTTATAATGTACCGAACTATATAAACGACGTTATATTTGTCACCTTGTGCCTGTGTTACTGTCTAATCCATTCAATGCAAAAAATCAAAAGTAAAAACAGACTTTAGAAAACTAAAAAGAGAATTAAAAAAATTCCACATAATTTAATAGATTTTATAGTCGAGGTTTTTTTTTACAGCAATAGGGTGACAAACGAGCACACAGTCCTCCTTAATGATAAGTGGATGCTGTGAATCGTACTCTACATCTATCTTTATTTAAGAATCAAAATGTAGATGCGTTGTCACCCTTGAGGACTAAGATCATTTTAGACGACCCTATGTCATGTCCTTTGTCATGGGCAAAAAAACTATCCTATCTCTCAAGTTGGGCCAAACTGCACACGGTGTGCAAATTTGATTAAAATCGGTTAAGTAGTTTAGGAGTCCATCGCGGACAAAGGTGACAAGTAATTTATATATATATATATATACTTTATATGACGTTCTATCCAAATTCTTCGTCTTTTACATGAGTCTTTTAGTAAACGCAACACGTGCATCAAAATCAAAACTTCATTCCTATTCTGACGAGCTGTCTAGCAAATCTAGGAGCAACATGCGCCAACTCATTGTAGAACTCAATACACGTCTAGTAATTTTGAAGGATTTCGAGTGAATGTATCATTTCGTATACGTATACTTAATTAACTTTTTATACGCAGGTAAAACATTATCGTATCTGCGTAGTCTGTGACTCATTTTAAGCTACTATACTATTTTACGCTGGTATTTTGTGTGAGCGTGTTCCTTCCCCGGTCGTGCCGACCCATTCGTGCTACTACTTACTACTTGCTACACTTACTCATAGCACCCACATAGAATATTAGAACTTTATACATATCTATAAATTACGTGATTTTTTAGTTTTTTAGATTTTAATGCTTTTTCTATATTTTAAAGTTTAATTAGGTAATATATTTGAATTTCAAAGTAGCAATTTTAGTTTCATTGGATCGTTTTTCTTTCATAAATAACGATGTTGGTTCTATTACACATTGCGTATATTTATGATACTATTATGTTTCAGCTAACATTAGGTACTTAATTATAAAGATATACAATTTATTCCAAACACTTCTTAAACATATGTAGTATAGATTTTTTTACATTCTAAGTAATTTTTTGTGACCTACACAGGTCGAGACGGACTGATAAGTAGGAATTTAGTCGTTAGTCACTTTGAAAATAATACCACTATTTTTAATAACTAATAAAGGAACAAGCGAGCTTGCAGAAAACCTGATGATAAAAAGCACCTTACCGCTGTTATTCATGGAAACAAGGAAGATAATACCATAGATACTATGTCGTTCCTGACGATCAGTCTCAAACCTGTTATTACGCTGGATGTTCATACCCTTTTCAACCGACTTCAAAAAGAAGGAGGTACTCAATTCGACTGTATTTTTATGTGTATTATCTCAAAACTATTTTTTACAAATGAACCGATTTTGATAACTTTTTTTATTTGAAAGCTGGTGCTTCTCATTTGGTCCCATATCAATTTGATCAAGATCTGACCAGTAGTTTTTGAATTATTCTCAATTACGCGTATTTAATTGACTTCGACTACATTGATGATGTTCTCAGTTACGGTCGGTTGTAAAATGATTTTTTAATTTGGCCACTTGTTCATAGCGGAATATAATAGAATGAGTGGATGTACAGGATGTTTCCATGTCGGTGGCACTAGGCAAAGAAAGTGACGGGTTTCTTCCTACTTTTTCTAACTTCCTAAATCGTGTAAAAACGTATTTTCCTCAGGTCGTGGGCGCCTTTTGCCTTTAGATACCAGTAAGTAAGGGGTATCCTTAATATTATAACGGACTCCTAGGTACGATCATCTTCTAAGAAACCACAACTACTATGTTCTAGACACCAAATCTTACTATGTTGTAAGTATAAAATATTTTCTTTGAACGCGAAACTGTATCAGTAATGGCAGATGGTATGTGTGAATGTAAAAGATTGAAGTTTTGAGGAAATTCAATGACTTAGCACTTAATTTAATTTATACATCAGTATGAAAGTTAATGAATTATGCTAAAGTAACTAAAATCTTTATTGCACTTTTACTTTAAAATGATTTTGGGATTCTCATAAAATTTTAAAAATAAATAAAAATAAACTCATCAAACATTCATGGTTAGATCGATGTCTTGTTCTGTTTAAAATTATAAATTTCTGATTTCAAAAACTATACTTTAATTACATAAAAGGTTGCATAATCTTATGGCGTATTATAAAATAACCGCTTGAATGAAAATACTACTTATCAGAGAGTACCTAATACCTATGTGTTTCTAAGATGTACCACGTGGATCTATCTAACTATCGAATTTTTATACCTTGAGCAATATAATGTTTTCTTTCTTAAATACAAAGAATTACTTCTAATGGTTGGTATTGTTTCTTGCATTTTTGAATACTATCAAGAATGTTATTTTAAATAGAAAATGTTTTGAAATTAAATGCCACGAAAATTATTAATATTTTCAAAATTTATTACAAAATACCCTCAACTAAGTAATCATAAATAGGTAAAGTAAATCATTCACGTATTACTGCGTAATAAAAAAATAATAAATTTCATAAAACATACTTCCTGATCCGTATGCGGCACTAACAATGCACAAGCACACAAAAATCACACACAAATACATCGTGTCGCAAAAAAATTTAGCAAAGCATTATGGCAACTTGCTGTTTCGCACACCACTGTCTAAATGACAAATTCTCAGATATATTATCATGAGGTCGAAGTTTGGGGTCAAAGTAAACTTTATTATCACTTAATTATCTGTACCAGGACGCGGCCGATACATAGTCGAACATACTTATTACAATTTGTAATGAATATTAGTCCATAGGCAAACATCGTTAAAGCGTTGTAATGTGGTTAGTAGATTAACCATACTTCAACATCAAGCCGGATAATTGAATTAGTGTCGTCATAGATCATTTTTTCGTCGTAATAAAAATTATGTGATGATAATAATTCTGGTTGAATTCGACACGGCGACAACTTCCTAATACTTTTGGAAGCTATCAAGTACTCTTGAATCAACATAATAACACAAGTTTTACTTTCTCACTTGTTATTATATCCTCTGCAGTGATTGCCTGGTAGACATCGCTTCTAGCGATACAGCTGCTAATTGTATCTCTGTATAATGCTTGATTTTTTTATTCATTGGTGTAGGTACGTTAAAATGTATTTCATTTGTTTAAGCTCATACGCCCAAATTTTCTTGTATCCAATGTAAGGTATGTGCGATATGATCAGCGTAGAATCAGGTTCAATTTAACACTTTCACTGTCCGATTTTCAGACACAACAGTAAGATAATAGCAATGAACTATATGCAGTACACGGGACAGCGAATGGGTTAAGAAAAACGAGGAGAGTCAAAATAGACATCAGAATATGACAGCTAAAACAAACATCAATTTACTGTTTTTCTAGTGTTAATCCGCTTTTTGATATATGCACAAATTTATTTTTCGGCGATATATACGTACAGTATACATTAACTGCTTAACTTGTATCCGACGTTTATACTGGCCAAAAGTCCTAGGTAGTGGGTACAGATATAGTTTCACGAGCTAACATACAGGCATTCCTTTTCCAAATCTAGAATGAAAGATAGGTATAACTAGATCGAAGTCGGATTTAGAATTGGATGTAGTGTCACATCCAGAGCTGAAAAGTAACATCTTATTATGAATTCGTATATATTCGTATATAATTCGTATTGAATGACTTTTTTAACTTACTAATGTTAAATAAAAATATTTCACACTTTCTTTGGTTTTTTTTTGTATTTCCTATTTCCTTACAACGTGTTTACGGTAATGGTACTCGAAAAACTTAAACTGTGATCGAAATTGTAAAAGGACTATACGATATAAGCCGAAAACGCGTGGCCAACACAGTTACTTTGTGCAGGGTCGTCAAACGACGGGAAGTCGGCGGAAATCGTCACGACGTATCTGGTTACGTTCCGACTGTCCCACTCGGAACAATTGTGGTATCTGATTAGAGTTTATTGCTGTTTGTGTTTACTAGTGGTATAGACCTCCATTAACTTACTTAGAAGGTATACTAATACTAATAATAAATAATGATACTTTAATGTATGGGCAGGCCTATGTTGAATAGTAGACTTTAGGCTGTAGTGGATAAAATGGATGGAACTTAAACAGAAACAGAAACTTTTTATTTAACATAGTTTATAAATAATACTTATTGACGGTCATTCTTTCGTTTAATTACCACCGGTTCGGAAAAAAAACCTCTGTCCTGGTAAGAACGAACAAGAAACCCAGCGGGACTTTAAAAAAATGACAGCTTACATTATATGTTACAAAAAAAAAACAAATTAGAAATAGCTTGGTAGCGATGACCTCATTCCCAGGGGTTATCATTAACAAATTCCTTAATATTATAATGATACTTTTTATACCAACTTAATAAAGTTTTGAAATTCGAGTCGGTCAAATTTTAAATATTTTCTGGGATTTTGTTGTAAAATCGCACCATGGTGGAGTCGTGTAACTGGTACTACTGGCTTGTGTCTGTTTTATGTATTGGTAAGAACTAGCAAGAAACCCAGCGGGACTTAAAAAAACAGCTTACAATATATGTTGCATAACAACACAAAACAAATTATAATTAACTTGGTAGCGATCACCTTATTTCCAGGGGTTATTATCATCCACGAATTCCTTAATATTATAATAACCCTTTTTATACAAACTTAGTTTAATAGAGTTTTTGAACTTTTAGCAATATTTTCTGGGATTTTGTTGTAAAAGCGCACCAATATATACATCGCCCCAAGAATGAAATACTGACTCGGTGGAATCGTGTGACTGGTACCTACTACTAGCTTGTGTCTGTTCCTAGTATTTACAGAATGAATATCACTTAAACTACTTTTATTTTTGTGTACGTACATTATATTTTCATAAATATATTGTGAAGCCAAAGTTAATATATTAATTCCCAGAGCGTGAGCCTGAACCTTAAATTTTTTGAGCGACTCTTCCCCTTCCTCGTAAAACAAATGTAATTTCAGTGTCAGTCGCGTATTCCCATAGCTAAATACCACATATTATTCTATGGTCTATGGAAATAGCTAAAGTAAACTAGTCTAGCTGTTCTGACATTGATAAGATCTTTTTTACAGCGTATACTGCTAAACTAAGTCTCGCACTTAAGGCCGAATACGAAGAGAACTGGCGAAATTTAATGTATGTATTGTATTTCTCTTCACTAAAACTTTGACCTGAAGTAATTCTAAGCGTTAAAACATTTTTGTAGGTTTGTTCGGTTCCTTCACAAGGTGCCCGCAGTTTTAAAATAAATGAATATACCAACAAATAAAAAATTTTAAGAAATGATATTTAAAAATCACTGTTCTTCCAAAACTCTGTGAAGTTTAATTTAGGAAAAATTCTTTTACGTAAAAATGTTTGTATTGTGATTCCGAAGATGCCTGCTGTCTTTATTTTCGATACAAAATATTATTTTTTAACATAATCCGTTTTAATTAAAATAACCTAATAATAATATCGTATATTGCCAGATAAAAGTTTACCGTAATAAAGTACCAGGCGCTTCGACGTGTGACTTAAGGTAACAAGTAACAGTCGATGTGTCTGTAGCGAAAATCGTTAATTTAGTGTTTTAGACGCGTTTAACAGACTATAAATGTAAATATGGGTAGGAAAAGAAATAAATGTTACCTAAGTGGTAAAACAAAGAGAGTTTATCGCATGAACGCTGCTCGAATGTTGTATTTTGAGGTTAATACTTATATTTTTGTAAGGTAATTTTTAAGCTATTGCATAGCTTCTATCGCGGGCCTTCCGCGCGGGGACCGAATCCAGAAATTCCGTAATGAAAAAAACCTCAAGCTCCCCACTCCGACGGGCACGGAGGTGTGGCGTATAGATTACTAACTATATACTAGAGATGTGGCGTTGAAAGCCGTGCATCGTCTAACATAGATAAATAAATATTATGTAGCAAGCTAATCGTCTAACGTCGTTTCAGTTCGGCAGACTTCGGCACTCGGCAGAGTTCGGCACGGTGTTTGTTTGCGTGCGACTAGACGTATGCGTGTACACTAGCTGCTAACTCAATGATAAAAATTCCTGAATAACTTACGTGTATTGTAAGATACTAAAAATATTTTAAACAATATTAACTTCTCATTTATTCAATAAGAGAAAAAAAATTGTTTTCTTATCGGTCACCACGCTCAAAAAGTGTAACTTGATTTAATATCAAAGACTTAACTGCATAAATAAAATAAATAAATAATTATAATTGCATAAGTTGATAAAAAATGCTATGCAATAGCGTTACCGCGGCAGTCACCGAGTGCCACACGTATTTTTATTTTTTGTTTGAGGCTGCCTAATAGGTTGCATTTTTACTCATTTACATTAGCCAAATTGATCATTTATACTTTTCTAGTTTCAAGTGAGAAACACTAAAAATGTAAATATCAAGACCCAGTCGGAAAAGAATGTACAGAGTAGTGCAAGCGCAGAGACCGCAAATAATGTCATAGTCAATGTATTGTCCGAAAGCATGGGATAAGTACATAATTAAGAAAAACCGAAATACTTCGGACGTGAAGTGATTGACCAGTCGGAGTAGTCTTGTGGGAATTTACATACACAGTACCTATCACCACTATGGGGCAATCACCGACATTTTAGTTTTTTTTTCTTTATTATTTATGCAATTTGCATTACGGCATCTTGTAAGACTCACAAGAACAAACATTTTCAGTTATATGAGGTTCTTAACGTACGATGCACCAATTAAGAAAAAAAACCGTTATCAATTCAATAACTTTTCGAACAATATTTTATAACGAATAAAGTACAGAATTTATAATCTATAGGAACTAATATTATAAATAAGAAAGATTTATTTAAGAAGTGATCAATGCTCTCTGTGTTATTCATTACTCTGCATACTAAGCTAGTTCAGTCAAATATAATATAATCAAAGCCCGTACGGCTTTGATTATATTATACATGTCTACAATTTTAATTATATTCAAATTAAAATTTTATATATAAAGAAAGCGTACGGGCGGCGCATGGTTTGCTGCGAAACGAGCAAAGACATTCGCGTCGTATTCGGCCTTAAGACGAAATGGGATCGTGTTCGGGGTGAAGCTGTAGCAGGCGGGCGGTCGGCGCGCAAATGGGGTCCCTCGCGTGCCCGGCAAACTGCTAGCAATATTCCGTTTATGTACTCATGTGGCAATAGCGACGAGTAGGGATGGGCAAGTGAAAACTATATCGAGATATATTGTAAGTATCGATATTTTTAAACAGCATTGATATATTCACGTGATGAATATCGACATATCGTCATGTTTTGCATAATGTAGTACGATAAGGCTCAAAATGGTATTACTGAACGGTTGGAAGACGAAAAAAAACCGCAACGACACATGAGTATATTTGTAAATTCTTTTCATTTTGTCGATTAATACATTTTGAAATATATAGAAATTAATACGGAATCCGATACTCCATGATAAATATTGAATATCGATATATCGCGATTTATAAATATCGATGATATATATATATATATCATCTATATATATATATATATATATATATATATA